CTACACAGAGAAACCCTGTCTCGAAAGAAAAGAGAAGAGAGAGAGCCCTTTGTGGAGCAAAGCCCATACAAGTCTCTGCTGCACAGGTTTACAAGGGCAGCATCCGGGGCCGCTTTTCCCGGATGGGGAAAGCTTGGAAAACTTCAGAGGAAGTTGGTGGTTTCTGTCCCAAACCACCCAGCCGTCTAACCACAGCTCTCAGGAGCGCCTTGCCCGGATCTGTGGCGCTTAGAACACAGGCCTGTCTCCGTGAGCCTGGGAGGGGCGGGGTCTCAGCCTGGCCGGCTGTCACCTGGGTCAGCAGGTTCAGCATTGTGCAGTCATGGGGCATGCTTGTAACACGCCGAATACTTTTATCGTATTAACTCGTTCAGTCCTCCCAACAGCCTTAGGAAGGCGTCTGCCCCCTTCCAATTCCACAGATGAGGCAACTGAGGCAGGAGGCGGCGAAGGGACCTGCCTCGGACTCCCCAGCGTTGCCAGAGGTTGTCCTGCGTTGGGGACAGTCGCAGTGCGGGGTGGGCAGCCCGGAGACCCCGGACACCGGGTGCGAGAGAACGGGCCCTGTTCGCGGCGCGGCAGCCAATGGGTGCAGGGCCCCGAGTGGGGTGACGCGGCGTCAGAGTGCGCTCGCGGGACTCGGGCTTTGGTCACGTGCTCAGCGCCTGCTCGACCCGGGGGCGGGGCGGTATGACCTGCGGACACTCGCGCTGCCGGTTGAGACTACAGGACTGCGAGCATGGTTTCTAAAGGGCAGATTGCCTGCGTACCTGCGCCGATTTGGTTACCTAGGCGACCACCGCGCATCTCGCGGTTTGTTCCTACCCATTAAGCACTGGAGACCCTGAGCTTTGAGCAGCGGGGCCTCTCTGCCCAGCAGTGCCCTCAGTGTTAGGTGTGGAATGGCAGGCCCTGGGCAGGAGGCTGCTGAGCCTCGCGGGCCACTTGCCACTCTGCATGACCCCATTATCCTTCTTGACCGCAGGAGCTGAGCTTGGGTCTGCCTGGGCGAAGTAGCAGAGGACCAGGCACTGGGAACAGCTTGCTAAGACTCTAGAACTACGTGGGAGGTCTTAGCCTCCTCATCTCCTTTTGTGCCGGAGACTGCTGACTTGAGAATTCTGGCCCTGGGTGAGGGTTGGTCTCATTAGAGTCGACTTCTGTTGTGAGCTGTCCAGGAAGTCTTGTCCTCTCTGAGCCTCTATGTTTCATCCACTGTGGTGGCTCTTTGGCGTCATCAGTCTCTTGATAGATCTCCACACAAGGGCTGTGTGCCCAGAGGCTGTGCACAGTGAGGGGTTCCGCTCACAAATGAAGAAGGGGAATGATGGCCACTGGGGGAGAAGCCAGGTGAACACTCTTGAGTCCCAGAGTAGAGCAAGTACATCAATTGATGGCATCACCCGTCACCAGTCAAGTCAGCCCTAAGGGAGTTACTGCTGGAATCCCAGGTCCCCACTGCTTGCCACTGTACCAAACTGGGGAACAGACTCTGCTAGGAAGATGGAGGTTTATTCAAGACCCACCATGGAAAAGAAAGCAGATTCTCCACCTACCGGGTTTTGCAGAAGTGTAAAGAGCCTATATTGGAGAAAAGGAGTATAGGATGTGTAGGGGTGGGGAGGTTCCAGGCCCTGTCTTCTGTTACTCTGGCCACTGCAACTTACTTGGACCTTGTTGAGCAGAGAAGGAGCTAAACCTTCCACAGACCACTAGGTATTCGGGTTCTGGCAGCGCGGCAGGGCTATCCCTCCCTCTGCATTCTCAGCAGGTCTGTGTCTGAGACCAGCCTGGGCAGCTCCCATCTCTTAAGTTTCAACTGGGACTTCTCACCAGCATTCAGAATGTTAGGCAGAAGGAAAGGGACTGCAGTATCTGCTGAAGGAACCAGGGAGGCCTCAAATAACAGAAGGGGCCAGGCACAGGGGACAAGTCAACGAATCTGCTGTAAGGACGGTGACAGGCTGAAATATAGAACCTTTCACCTGGATGTTGGGTTTCAGGCCATGCCAGACTGACAATCAGCTGTCCTTCCAGCCAGTCTGTGGGCTCCTTTTCCATCCTCATCTTCCCTGGGATCTTAGCCGGGCCATTCCACTCGAAGACTGATGAGCTGCAAAGGCCCGGGTCGGTCACTGTCACTTACAGTTGCATTTCATGGATGAGGAAAGGGGCAGGGGGCACAGTGCATTCTCAGGTGCCACTAGTATAGTGTGAAGACCATGTTGCATGTGATGAAGAGGCGACCGGGACAGACAAGAGCCCACTGCGCTTCCATCCGACTCCCCAGAGCTGCCAGCAGAGATCTGACTTACTGGGATGCTCGGGACCCGACTCTATAGCCTTCTGGAGGCCATGAGAGAACGGTACTTTCTGGGTGCCTTGCCTGTCTGAGCTCTCTGATTCGGCCCCTGCCCAAGATCTGTTTTTCTTGGAAAATAAATAAACGGTGAAGTTCCCTTCACATCAAGAGCTTTAATGAGACTACTGGGTTGCGGCCATCATCAAGACAGGGCCCTGGCTCCTCTCAGGCCTCCAGTGACGGGAGGGGAAGCAGTGAGGCCTGAGGAGAAAAAAAGAGAAGAGCCCAGAGGTCTGTCTCTGTCTGTATGTACCCCAGGAGCTGGGCATTCTCCACCCATGCTGTAGGCCTTATGAAGGTTTTATCCTTCCTCTGCTAACAGCTGGGGATTTCAAGGTGAGTTCTCGGTGTTTTGTGTAAACCACTGGAAAGAGCCTGCCCTGAGCTGCAGGCAATCTCAAGCCTGTTATGGAGGAGCCAACCCCGAGGAAGCAGAGCCAAGACACACAGAGAGCAAGTGCCCAACCTAGGGATACACAGGCACCTGGACGCAGCCATTCCTGAAACTCATCCCTCTTTCTGACTCATTAACCAATTCCTGCCACAAACAAAAAGGCAAGTACACCCTTTGAGTGAGGAGTTTGGGCCCCAGACTCCATCCTGACAAAGAGACCCTGGCCTGGTACCGCTCTTCTCCAACATGTCTTGCATTTGCTTTCTCTCACAGAGCTCCTACTTTACAGGAACATGCATTAGTCTGTTGGGAAAAAAATGCACTTTGGCAAGTGCCCACAAGGGGTTGCAAAGCCCCTCCTTGGAGAATTGTCAGCCAAATCACAGAGGTATGACCATCCTGCGCTCCTTTCTGGTCTGGCCAGCCTACCCTAGCAGCTCCAGAGCCTTTCTCCCTGCAGGTCAAGAGAGTTCTCTAGCACACACAGAGGAGGGGCCTTGGTTCTCGGAACTGAACAAGGTTTCAAGTTCCCCACGGGCAAAGCCTGAGCACTGGCCAGGCACAGGCAGGCAGTAAGGAAATGGAGCTAAAAGGAAAAATGCCCTCGGCCCACCTGTTCTTCATTGTGTAGGGATCATTGGGTTCTGGACTCTTCAGTGGCACAGTGGGAGGCACAGAGGAGGGCACAGAATAGACTCAGTCCATGTTGTGTGCTCAGAAGGATGTGGGTTGTAGGCCCCCTCTGCTGTTGAATGCACACTCCTCCTTTTCTCTATTAAGGGCTTGCAATTCAGCCCACCTCGCCAGAAAGTCAGAGCCTCAGCTCCTGGAGCCTGGGGTGACAGTGGCTCTTAGGGTGCTGAATGCTGACACCCTGGCCCAGGTTAGGGACTATAAAGATCCCATTAGTCTGTGGTTCCTGGGCCTTTCATCCACTGCTCATCCGGCGGACTGGGGTCTGGGTCTCAGTGACAGTTGTGTTAATCTCTGTGCCCAAAAGCACATCTTTGGCTTTTCCCAGCCCAACTCTACCAGTACAAGTGACAGGCTGGCAAATGTTAGCCAGGGTCACACTAGCTTGATACACTTCCTACACCCAAGAGCTCCATCCTCAGTTCCAGGAGGTGAAGGGTCTGAAGGCCTCAAGTCCTCAAGCTAAAGGAGTCATAAGCACCTGGCTCCACCTTTTCCTCTGTCTCCCCACTTGGTTCCTTTGCCTCAGGGCGGGCTGAGGCTAGTTCCCAAAGGACAATGCCTCCGAGTGGTACCCTAGGGCAACCTCACAGGAAGGTGGGTGGGTGGGGAGGTTCAGAGATGGGCTGGTTTGTGGGGACAAAAGTTCTAAAACTGTGATGGTCACCCAATCAATCGTCTAACTCTTGACTGAAACCACTCACATATACATTTAAAGTTTATAAACTGTATCTGTGGTGTGAGCTGTAGACTAAGAACACAGCTGGGGAGAGGGGCCCGCTCTCCAGGAGACGAGGCTTGCTGACTTGGTAGGCTCGTAGAACTTGGTGCCTGGCATGACTTTGTAGAAGATTCTGATGACTTTTTTGGCAGAAACCCAGCAGAAGGGTGTTGGGTCCCTCAGGCCTACCTGCTCTGAGCCAGGGTAAGTGACCCAGGAAAATCCACCACACCCAGTCCTGTGGCTCCTCGGCAGTCAGAGCAGACAGATATCTGGCCCCCCTTCCCCACAGTCTGCTGGTCTGCAGGGCATAGGAGTTCCCTTGAGGAATGAAGGAGCAGGTCCGCAACTGTTTCCTCCATGAAGGCCAGTTAAAGAAGGCCTGGGGTGCTGGGCTTGTGGCCCAGGCCCTTTATCCCAGCACTTGGGAAGTAGAGGCTGAAGAACCTCTGGGTTTGAGGCCAGTCTGGGCTACACAGTGTGTTCCAGGCCAGCCAGGGCTACATGGAGACCTTATCTCAAAACATGAAATAAAATTAAAAGGCAGGCAAGAGCTGGGGAGATCGCTCTCTGGTTAACACCGCTTTTGCAGAGAACTGGAGTTTGTTTCCCAGCTTCCACAGGGAGGCCACACCCACTTCCAACTCTAGCTCCAGGGAACTGAACACCTTCTCCTGGCCTCTGTGGTTACCTGACCTAGTAAGTGCACACATCCACACTCAGACAACACACACAGACATGTGATTTTAAGGTATAATTTAAAAAAGAGGTCAGGTGGGCCAGCTTTCAGGCCCTTTGGATGGCAGGCCAGCTCAGACACCACGCGGGACTGGCTGGTTCAACCATTTATTGTGGCGAACTTTACGTGCAGGGACACAAATCAGAGGCAGTATTTGGAAGCCAGTGGGTGGGGGACACGCTAGTTGTCACTCTGAGCCACCCTCAGAGCCAGCTCTAACCACAGAAGCAGGACAGGGACAAGGATCTGCCTGGGAGACAACAGGATAACAAACTCAACACCTTCTTTTCAGCAGCCCCAAGGATCCTCGGATCCTCGTAAAGGAAGTGCAAACTTTAGGAAGGAACTCCACCCTTGCTCTCCCAGAGAGCCCGAGGGCAGGAGCAGTTAGGACACAGGGTTGACAGTTGTCCTTGGAGACTAGGGAAAGCCTACCTAGACCCCCATGAACAGGAAGGGCTGGAGATGGGTACTGTGCTAAGTGGGTACCACAGGGCCACAAAGGGAGGACCTCCAAGTGGAGACATTCCCTTGCTGGCCTCCGGTGTGGCTGAGCATCCCAACAGCAGACCACAGGGAGGCTGTGGACTGGTGAGGCAGGAACAAAGGCCCTCATTCTGCTCTCCCAGCCACCTAGGGCTGACCTGGCCCCAACAGTGCCCATGGCATGCCCTGAGCCATCTGAGAGACCATCAGTCAGAGGACTACTGGCAGGGAAGCCTTGTGGTGGAGCAAAGGAACTCGCTGCCACTGGGCCACTCAGGGCCTGGCCACCACTCTCCCAGCTGAGCAGTGTTGTGGCTGACAGCATGTGCCAGGTGGGGAGGACAAGGGCAATGAGCCAAGTCACAGTCACTCACTCTGAGGGACTGACAGGACAAATGGAAGCTAGCTCTGGCCACAGCTACCAAGAAACCCTTTTGGCTCTGAAACCCCATGTCGCATGTACAGATAAATGAGTTGGTCACTCTCCACCCAACTCCAGCCTGCCTTCTTGGTACCTGGAAGAGGTCACTCTAGGGCAGGGTCAAACTACACCTGGTGACTTTCCTTCACTGCTGCCTGATGGCCAAAAAGGTAGAAAGAAGCAGTCTTCACATTTCAGCACACAATGAACAAGAAAAGGTTAAACACATCCTCAAGAAAATATTTTGACAAAATAAATATTTTAACCTATAATCAGGTGTAATTAGTGCTTATGAGGAGTCCCGGCAATAATTTAGTGTAATTAAGTACATACTCTATCTGTGATTTCTAACACTTGTAGAGGCGGCTGGCTTGAGAGGGCCCAGCTTCTAAGGACTTTGCCCACAAATGGTGGGAAACAGGTAGGAAACAGAGTCCTCCGGACAGGACAGTTCAAAAGCATTAAACCCCCTTCAGGACCTGCAGACCCAATCTTGCTTCTGGTAAGGGCCTCAGGCACATGTCACTTCAACCTACAGATAAGGCAGGCTACCTCCAGACAAAATATGAAGAATACAAACCAAATGCCAGCTGGGCTGGCCCCAGCCAGAAAGGTGGCCTCTTGACAGCTGGTGGGATTCTCTGAGGACCTTCTGCCCCCAGGACAGCCTGGCCTCTCTCAGCCATACCCAGTAGCTGCAGCCAGGAGGGCAGGGGCCAGCTCTGGACACTGGTACTAGAAACAGCCTTGTTAGCCTATGGTGAGACCCCACATCAGTCTCTCTCCCTGATGGAGGCCCATCTTCCTTTCTACATCATCCATAAACAAGGGGCAACCTCTTAATTCAGAGACGCTGGCCTGACTGCCTACTGCCCACAGGCTCAGCCCTTATAGGCTGTGTACAGCTGACCCTCAGAGACAACCCTTTGAGGACTGTGCCAAAGGCCAAGCTTCCAGCTGTACTGGGCTCCTCATTCTCCTTGGTGTGACAAGCCTTCAAAGGCCTTAACAGCCAGGCTGGTCTTAGAGGGCTCTGCCCTTGAGAAACACTGAGAGAGAAGCTCTGGTTGGTCAAGGGTCCTGAGTGGAGGGTGGAAGTGTAGCCGGTGCTGAGAGAGGGCTGGGCATTAGCAGGTCAGCTGAACTCCTGGCAGGAGGGGCTTCCTGGACAGCTTTTGCAGGGTCAGAGTGGTATTCACCCAGAGACTGCTGAGGGAGAAGGTGCTGGGTTGGCGTGGGGGCCTGGGGAAGGCCGTTTCTGTTCTCACCCAGGGCTGCAGCCCTTCCCTACAAGCTTCCCAAACCCTGCTCGCTGACCTCATTTCAAGTGAAGCCAGCCTCCTCTCCCTACCGGGACTGGGGCTGGTGTCGGGCGTGGGGACAGGCATAGCACTGGGCCTTCCTAACAGTGGGAAGGGCTGACCTCACACTGGGTGGGGAGTATGTGGTAACCTGAACAGTATATAGTAACACCACTGTAGCAGCAGCTTCCTTTTTCTAGGCAACAGCAACTAGACCAGGATTAAGGTGGCATGGAGTCATTTGCTCAGAGCCAGGAAACAAACCAGCAAAGACACAGGACAGGAGCAGGTATCACCAGCTCTCATTTGCTCAGAACCAACTATCAGCAAGCTTCAGAATGAAATTGTTGGCTGGGGGACATGTGGGCTGGGTGGCAGGTCAAATGGGAACAACCATGATGGCTGAGACAATGTCAGGGTGGGGAGAAGGGTGGAGTATGGCTCCAGGTCATCTGGAACCTCCTGGGCCTGGAGGTAGCTCGAGGAGAATGCTGAAGGCGAAGTCTAGTCATGGGGTGCACTAAAGTCATGTTGCTTTAGCAAACAACCCTCTGTAGATCCCAGGGCCAGATGTGAGTGTGAGTGTGCACAGCAAGTATGGAGTGCTGCCTACCATCTAGAGGGCACACGTTGCCGTCACAGCTGTTCTAGGCTATTCTCACACCAAGAGCCACAGGTCCCAGGCCTAGCAGCTGACTGATGGAGAATGGGTCAGAAACATGAGGGACCTTCAAGGTGCCCACAGAGACCACTCAAGCACAGACACACTATGTGCCACAGGTGTCACATGGTCCAAGGAGGGAAACTAAGCCTGTAGTTACAAATGCTTGAGCCCTGCTTTCCTGGAGTCCTCTATGAAAGAAGGGGGTCCAGGGGAGCAGAGTGTCCCACCCAGAGGAAGCCATGGAGCAGCTAGGCAGAAGCAGGAACAGGGAGATAATAAGAGGGTCAGTTCAGGAGCTCGGCTCACAAAGTGTCAAGGGGCTACCCTGCCTGGGGCTGGACCACGGGTTCTTCCTGGGAAGATGGAAGGCCAAGAGAGCCCTCGGGGTGACGGAGGACAGGACCTCTGGTCAATGCTGCTGTTGCCACCAAGAGAAAAGGTGGCAAGGTGGGAACTGACCAGGGCAGCCTGGGAGCAAACACAGTGGCATTTCCATGAAGATACAGGTATGCAGGCTGGGGGAGTAGCCAGTGCCCAGTGTCCACTAGGAGAGTCAGCAGTGACCTGTCATGGGGAAACCACAGGACAGCTCACAGGGCAAAGAGTGCATCCTCAGACCGCTCTGGCTTCTTTCGGTTGGAAGTAGTCGAGGCAGGTGCAGGGGCCTCTGTGGGGGGCGAGGGCAGGTCTGGAACTGTTTCTGCAGCTTTGGCTCTTTCTTCCAGGAACTTATCGAACTCTGCAATACAAACCAAATTGAGGGCCAGGCTTGGTGGGGGTCACTTAGCTAAAGCCTTACACCCTGCTCCCCAGCTCCAGCCAGTACCACATTGGCCTGGCTGCACTCTGGCAGGAGGTACATGTGCGCAGGGGCGGGGATGGGAGGGGTGCTGGCGGGAGAGCAACCAGCCAGATCCCACACTATGCTGTGCTCTCCCAGGCTGGGGACCAGCCAAAGAGAAGTCACGTATTCCTGACTCTCTGTGTGCAGAGCAGGTGGAAACTGAACTAGGGGTGTGTGAGGAGAGGGTCCCCAATGTTGAGGAAAGGGTCCAGTAGCCCTTAGTCCCTGCATAGAAAGGCTCTAGAAAAAACAGTGGGTGGGTGCAGAGCACCGGCCCCTCCTAGAGCCCAGAGCTCTGTCTCCCAGATCAGCACCAGGCAGGGCTGAGAAAATGAACCAGATACCACAGGCCCACCCTCACTGACCCAAGAAGAGACTAGAGAAAGGCTGCAGAGGGCAGCCATGTAGCACAAATGGCAGGTCCTTAGACTGGTCTTTGTCACAGGGTCTGGAAGACTCCAGAGGATGGGAAGCATGGGATAAGGTATAGAAGGCAAGATGAAGAGGAGGTCAGGTCAGATGGGAAAAGGGCAGGAGCCTTGTTGGAAAACTGGGCCCATATTACCACCTAACCATGAACTGAGGCCCAGATGCCCAAGAGGCCCTGCACAGATGTGCACTGTGTGATCCGTGTCTGAGGAGGACTTAGTCCCCATGAAGAGCAGGCCAGCCCCTGTGTACCCCTGAGAGTCAGGAATAAGAGAGCAGAAGGGCTGTAAGGCCACTGGCCAGGCCTACCTTCGCTTGTGACACCCTCTTCCAGGTCGTCACCCTTCTGTGGATGGAGCAGAGAATGGCATTAGGGCTCATCCCTGTCTTGCCCACCCCACCACTTCTGCCCACCCAGGGCTACCCAGTAGACTTCTACTTTTCCTGTTTCCAGATTTCTCTTCTTCCTCTGAGAGAGGCAGAGTGTATGCTTGAAAAAAAAAATGTTTAAAAAAAAGGAAAACAACAAAAAGATTCTAGGTTTTGATCCCTAGAAGGACAAGAAAGAAAAATCCAGGTACAGGCTGGTCCCTACCAGGGCCAGAGGGGAGAACTCTGCCCATTAACACCAGGCTCTGAGGAGAGAAGCCATGGCCACATGAGGCTGAGGCACATCAGTGCTGCCAGCATAGTGATCCAGCCACACACGAGGCTAGAAGCTGCTCAGGGCCTGAATGGCCTCAACCTGACTCCAGTGGTGGAGGTCAGTGGAAGCTGCCACCTAGAAACATGTCCCACAGCCCCCAGGGAGCTAGACCTCAGGCTCTCCCTCCCACTGCCCTTAAGCTCCCATTCTTTCTGCCTAAAGGGACCATGGAGGTGCTGTGTATCTCTACACATTTAAGTGGATCACACTTGATCAGAGAGGAGCTTACACACAGGCCTCACAGGAAAGGACCCATGCTGGAGTGAAAAGTCACTAGCAAGGCTGAGCTACCTGGCCTTCTCTGGATATATCACTGCCTTGCTGAGAGCCTTGCTAATAAATCCTTTCTGGATCTTGTCTCTTAAGGCTCTCAGGTAGCCCAGGTTGGCCTTGAATTCATCATGTAGCTAAAGCTGGCCTTTGCACTTCTGATCTTCCTGCCTCCACTTCCCAAATGCTGGGATTATAGGTGTGTGACAATATGCCTAGTCTGGGAGAGGGTACTGAGACTTCCTGTTTCCTCCCCTGTGAGGGCCATATTTCTTTCTAGGCACTGCTGGATAGATCACAGGGCCTTCCAACCTTCCCTGACATCCAGGTGCCTGCCTCCTATCTTTAGAAGGCCTGGGCCCCTGGGGAAGAGGCAGGGTTAGACCCTGCCTACAGCATACTGTCCTGTTTCGCATGGGAAGTGCCACAGAAAGCCTGTGGCCACCACTGCACCCCTCCTCCACCCAGCTGCTGTGAATGTACGCTCTGTAAGGAGCAGGGAATTGACTTGAGGCCGTCTTCAGACACATGATCGGCTCAGTTTGTTATCTATCCTAGAACACAGAGAAATATCCTTTTCGGGCAGGAGTTCTTGTAAACAAATACCAGAAGACAGTGGGATGGAGATGATGGTGAACTTAAAACCAGGTGCCTAACTCATTTGTTGGGGGGGGGGGGGAAGAAAAAAGAAAAAAGAAATGAGGGTTGGAATGCAGCACTTGCCACTAGCATGCACTATGCCATGAGTTCAATCCCCAACATAGGGGCAAAAATAAAGGAAACAAAAACACAAAAATCTCCTCCTCCCTCAAAACAAAAAGCAAAATGAAACAAAAACAAACAAGCAGAAAAACCACTCAAACACACACCTCTGCCACTTAGGGAAAACTGGGGAGGATCCAGTGTGTGTTAGGAGTGGTTAGAGCTGGGCTCCAACCTCTGCAGATGTGAGGCCTTGAAAGGGACCTGCCCACATCTGTATGGAGCTCTGTGGCTGACAGGCTGTGCCCAGAGCCAGCACCACCAGGCTCCACATGTTGGAAAAGGAAGGGGAGCTTTGGTGAGCTGCCCTGACCTCCCTCCTCCAACCCGAGGTGGAGCACCCCCCTGCCACGAGCCCCAAGGCCTGTCCTCAGAAGAACATCCGCCTTGCTGCAACCCACACGCCGAATGTAAAAGTCAAATCTCACCAGGTCTGTCCTGAGCCACACCTCAATGTCGTCCATGACAGAGGGCTGCGCAACGGGGATCTACGGAGGCAGAGGCGGCAAGCAGCGGGGTCAGGCAGCCCCCACACAGCCAGGCAAAAGAAGACAGAACACCAGAACAAAGTAAATCATCAAAAGTAAACCCCCCCAAACAAAACCAAAATGTACACAGAGCAAAACAACTACATGGCACACACAGGCAACACAGGCAGCTCTATGTGGAATGGCAGGTGAGGAAAGCAATGAGGTGGTAAATTATAAGCAGACTGGCCAGCGGGGGGCTGGTGGCAAGAAAGTACGTGTTCTTGATATGGAGAACTTTTTGCTTATGTGTGTTTGCCTTTTCAGGCCAGAACTTCAAAACACCCTCTAATCTCAGGAAGGACTGGTCCTGTAGCAGCCATGACAGGAGGGAGAATCAGCTTCCCTCAGTGAAGACCCGCCCTAGGCCAAAAGGCTCTTGGGACAGAGGGAAACTGAGCAGCAGCATGCCCAGAAGAGGGTGGGGCAGCCCAGCCCTGGGCCTCTGTTCCACAAGGTGGCTTTCTGAGTTGGTGAAGGAGCCAGAGGCACATGCTCCCTCGGTCTGGGAAGGGCACACTCTAGCACTAACGGGAACACAGCTAAAACGAGAGCTTTGATGACAAAAAAGGACAGAGGGCTTTCGTCTTCTTTCTCTCTTTTGAGGAAAAAATACCACCCAGTAGCCTCAAATGCCACAGCTCCCTTCACTGTGATTCTTTCCTCCTACCTCAGCAGCTGTCTAAGCTTCAATAGTTGAGAAAAGTAGTCCGCTGTGGCTGGGAAGCAGGCTGCCTAGGGTGTGGCAATGTTCCCCAACAAACCTGGGTGTTGGAAGAAGGTGTCATGCCTTGGCCTGAGCCAAAGGCCCCAGCGCAGTCTGAAAAAATGTGCAACTAAAAACATTTAAGTTGCTATCAAATATGACAGGATAAGAAGTGAAGGTGGCCTTTAACCCTCTAGAAGCCACATTAATAAAAGGTTGGCTCCCAGCCTAGATAAATGAGGTGACAGCCTTTAGTCGGGCAACCCGCCTCTTTACCTGCCCCGGGGCTAAGAGGTAACTCTCCTGGGAGGCTTGTTTATTAGCCCACTTATTTCTAGAGAAAAAAAAAAATGACAGTGCTGCATTCATAGCTTGCTACACTCTAATGTCACAATCTAGGGTAAATATAAACTTTAAATAGGCAATAAGAAGACTTGGTGTAAGTAATTCTTAAAAACAAAACAAAAATAACCCCAAAACTGCAACCCGAAAAGAAAACAAAGAACTCATATTGCCAGGCCCTGTTTTGGAGGCTGAAATCTGTTTCCAAAAGGTGTGGCACCTGCACACGCTGAGCAGATGCCTGCAGCACATCCCTCAGTAAGCTGGTGACCCCAGCTCTGGGAACGTGCTCTGTGCCCAGTCTTCACCCTGCTGTGAGCAGGCACGCAAGCATTTTCAGAACAGCTCACAGATCCCTAGGCAGTGTCTCTCTGTACTGCCAGTTTAACCCCCAGACACTTCAAACTGTCGAACTGTATATTTCAGGGAGCTCTTACACCATGACGTGAGTCACAGTGACAAAGCAGATGATTACTCACTCAGGGTGAGACCAAGGCTGCTCGGTAGCTGTGCCATCAGTGCTCACAGCAGATGCCTCCTTCCCCATCAAAGAACATCTGGACACAGTGGGCACAAAGGGTTATCTCATGACAGAGGTGGGAGGATGCGGGGGCTTTCTACCTTGACTCAGTCCTGGAACAGGATGTGCTGTTTTCATGATCTTGATATCTAGAAAGCACAATGTCCAACACGTAGAGGACATGTGCCATACCTAATTAACGGTTCAGAAAGTCAACAATTTCTCCAATGAGAAATGCCACCCATGGCAGCTGCTAGAGTACCATGTAGGCCCTTTTGCCTGATCCAACTCAGTCCACCTAGAAGCTTAGACTCCACATCTGTGCAGCTCTTTCTGCAGTGCTGGAGTAGAGCACAGGCCATATTGCAGGAGGCCAAACACCTTCACTATGCTGCTAGTTTGAAAGGTTCAGAGGACTAAGATGTCCCGTTTTATTTTTCTAATAATTCTTTTGTTATTATTAAAAGTTAGAGGGCTACGCTGGGCCTGGTGGCTAGCATACACCTTTATTCCAGTACTTGGGGGGTGGGGGCAAGTGGAACTGTGTGAGTTTGAGGCCAGCCTGGTCTACAGAGTGAGTTCCAGGACAGCCAGTGCTATGTAGAGAGACCCTATCTAAAAAAAAAAAAAAAAGTAAGAGGGCTAAAGATATAATTCAGAAGTGAGTGCTTGCCTACCATACATGAAGCTTTTGGTTTAATTCACATCAAAATCAGCAAACAGCTAAACACAACAAGTGCAAGGGCAACACAGTGAGAAGACAGTGGAGCTGGGCCCACCTGTGCCCCAGCGCCCAGCTGCAGGCTCGGGGCAAGTCACTTCTCTTTGAGCCATTTCTTCAATAGGGAGAGCCACTCTCTTCTGTCTTAGAAGCCACAGCTATGTGGACAGAGGTGAAGGAGTTGGCCTGGGCACTTCAACAAGTTTGGCCTCCATTTCCTCATCTGTGAATAGGGTGACTGCAATGTGACATTTTGAGTCTAATACTCCTGAGTCAGGATCCCTCATCTTCCAGGTTCTGTGTTCTAATACAGACATGCAAAGGAGTCTGGTCACTGGAACTGAGTCTCTCAGGCCTCAGGGCACGTTCTGAGGAGCTGGGGTGCTGCTTATCATCTAGGCTTATATAAATAAATAAATAAATAAATAAATAAATAAATAAATAAATAAATAGAGAAATAGCAAGTAAATAAACAGCTAAATAAATACATAAATGAATGAAGAGGCTTATCTAAATAAATGGGGGTTAAATGGCAGGGGGCTGATGCAGGAGCACAGCTATGAACCTGCTCTGGGAAGCAGACAGAGCATCCCTCTCACCACACAGGGACACCCAGACCCAGACTCAACATGTATACTCTCTGGAAAATACAGCCTGCAGAAGCCCAGAACAGGGGAGAAACAGCTCCCCCTCCTGCTGACAGAAGGAAGGGAGCATGGAGTCTTAGTGTGTCTCTGCCCTGTGGCTTTGAGCAAGGCACCAGGCCCTTGAGTGCCTTAGCATCTGTATCTGTTACACAAGGGGCTCATCCAGCAGATCCCTAGGAAGCTGTTGGCTTTCACATGCCATGGTTTTAGCATCTTCTTAGACACTGGTCCAAGCTGCAGGCTGTTACAGGAGGTTGAAGAGTGAAGAGGGAGGCTGAGAGGACGAATGGGTGTAAAGAGAAAGGAACCCAGAACACCCTCCCATGGAGACCAACGCCAAATGCTGACCCATGTAAAAACGGCAGCCACCCTGGTAACAGCCCCAGGCCCAACTTATGAGTCCAAAGAAGTTCAGGCATCTCTGAAGCCAGGGTGGCAGGTTAGGATCTAGGTGGTAGGCAGAAGTCCTGCTATTGGCACCTGTCTGGAGCTTCAGGCAGGCCACTCCACCTTGGGAAGAGAAAAGGAGAGACGCTGCCATTGGCTCTAGCCAGTTTTTTGTTTTCTGGTTTTTTGTTTGTTTGGTTTTGGTTTTTTTCTTTGGTTTGCTATGTCTGGTAGTCTGCCAGGGTTATAGAGTGTGGATGACTAGCATTAGCCTCTTACCACAGCAGGTTTTTACTAATCTGTTTTTATTTTTAATCTTCTCTTTCTCCGTGTGTGTGGGGCAGGGTGTGCTCACGTAAGTGCAGGTGTTCATGCCAGAGCGGGGCATCCGGTTTTCTGGAAAGGCACTTATAGGCCGCTGTGAGCTGCTCAGTGTGGGTGCTGGGAACTGAGTGTGGGTTCTCTACAGGAACAGTATGTGCTTTTAACTGCTGAGTCATCTCTGTAGCCCCACCTTTTTGTAACCCACTACTGTTGTTCTTCCTTGCCCTGGCCCCCTGGTGTTGGGAAATCAACATAGGACCATGAATGAATGTGGGCAGATGGTCTATTACTTCTGTTCTTGCTTTGACACTGTTATTACTGTAGTCATGGTTACTACTATTTGTGTGTGTGTGTGTGTGTGTGTGTGTATGACAAGGTCCCATTATTCAGCTTAGAGTGGTCTCTGTATAGCCCAGGCTGGCCCACACCATAAGGCTCCTGTCTCAGCCTGCCCAGTTCTAAGACCAGAGGCATGCTTTACCATGACAGCTTTCATGCTCTGATTTTCCTGCTTATACCCTGGAAATGGGGGATGGTCCTAACTGATCACCAGCCAGGAGTAGCAGAGAAGACCTAAGAGCCAGAAAGGAAGGGAAGGGAAAGCCACTGACCCTGGGCTCTAGCCAGATCTGGCTTACTTTTAGCTGCCAACGCCCCTGGCGCAGTGACCTAACTGTGCAGGCTGCCCTCACACTTGAAGTCTGAGGCGACGAAGTCACAAGTCACAAGGCACTCTTCCCGCAGCTGTCCCCAGCTCCACGCATACAAGGAAACCTACCTGCCCAGAGGTGCAAATCTGCACTGGGTGCTCTCTTTAGAGGAGCTGTGAAACACTTCGTGATACTGAACCCAAATCCAATGGGAGGATGTTCTAAAGCCCCTGGTCTCACTCAGTACACAAAGTTTCCATATGAAGAATCTGTACTTGAGAAGTTTGGAAAGGTAGGATTTCTATTCTACGGGAAATAAGGCAAAGCAGTTACACATTGTTTTAACAGGAAGAACACTGTAGGCAGGAAGGTGAGATTCCAAGTTAGCTGTTAGTTGGGTTTGTTTCTGGGAAGTTGAAGACTGGGGCTCTCTATGGGGACAGGGAAGGGAAGAGTCGGCTTGTGTGGACAAAGACAGGCACCATCACCAGCTGCCCAGGTCATATTCAGGTAGTTTGGAGGGCAGTATCCTTTTTTGCAGGGTTAACAGGCACGAGGGCACACAGCTAGATCTTCTTAACTTGGACAATGGAGATACAGTTTTAGGCCAGGGCCCAGCCTGACCTTCAGAAGAGAGGCCTGGCCATCCCACACTTGCAGGAGTAGCCTTTCTTCCTCAGGGCAAGTATCTGCTGCTGTGGGAGCAGGGACACTTGAGCACCGCTGCACTGATCTCCAGACACTGTCTGTTCCCATGACTCAAGCCTTTCTTAAGCTGCTGGCCCCTGGGCTGTAAGCAGCTTGCTGTCACTTGCAAGTCCTACGTGGACACCTGCCTACCTGGGCCCCTCTCCTGGCCTAACGCCAAAGGCTAGTTCTACATCTGGCTTACTGCATTTATCTGGAGGGCAGAGGTCCCCATGTCTATTTCTGTCGCCAGCTTATTTCTTTGTATCCTCACCTGCTCCACCCCTACCATACACACCTACAGCTTGATTGTGTACTGGGGATGACTCGGTCAACCCGAGGCAAACTTGGGACCCTCTCTTCATATACCCACTCAGGGCCACCTGCACAGATAAGGTAAGAAAGACCTTCCCAAGCCTCTGCCATGAAAGTCCTAATTAAGAGCGCACTGCAGGTGTGATATCAGCGCTCCCAGCTTTATCTTCTTTTTACTCTCTTACTATCATCTATACATTTATGCAAGAGATTTCCAGGCCATATATGAGACTATCCTACTATATAAGTCCACCAATTCTAGGACTGCTAAATTCTTAGGCCCAGGGCAAAAGGGAGCTTCTCTGATTGAGTCCTCTCATAACAGACCCTCCCACTGGGCACAAGCCATGATTACTTGTGCTCATCCTGGAAAAAACGAATACTGCCAAGAACTCCAGAATCTATCGGAGAAGAGAAAGGGCCCCCTCGAGCCTGCAAACATCCCAGCCCATAAAGACCCAGGATCACAGGCTCAGCAAAATTGCAGGAAAGGTGTTTCCTGAGCCGGAAGTCTGGGGCCTTACGGAGATTCCAGACACAGTGGGGAGATTTGGCACTCCCAGAACAAGTGACTGTTCTATGTCCTGTCTGGTCACAAGGACTGGGCAGGTGGCAAGAGGAAGGTGCCAACTGTTACACGGTGAGGGGCTGGGGTGGGCAGCGAGCTCATTCAGCTGTGGCTCCTCACCATTCCTTGGGTCATGAGCCAGCTGTCTATGGGCTGCAGGTCAGGGTCCCCACCTTTCCCTCTCTGTTGGGCCAAGGACAGAAAAGTCCCAAAAAGAAAAGTCACAGCAATACCCGCTACAGGAAGTCACACCACATATTGTAAAACGAAAAATCGTTGTTCCGATTTCATCGTCTGTCTCACAAGGAAATGTGACGTGATGCTTCCCACCTCTGCCCTAGCACGCACCCTGCCCACCCACCTGAAAAAGAAAAGGAAGATTCAGTAACCACAATCACAAGATGTTCGTGGTGATCGCTCTCCAACGCCCGGAGGCTTCCACAGAGCCTGAGAGGCTGGGCGCCCAGGCTAATTCTCTTGATAGGAACACCAGACTAGACAGATTAATTCTCTCTTTTCTTTTCTTCTTCTTTTTTATTTTTATTTTTTGTCCCTTAGGCTGACCTGGACTTCCAATCGTCCTGTCTCAGTCTTCTGGGATTATAGTTTGTTGTTACCATGCCTGGTTTAAGGGGTCAACTTTCAGAGAGCTAGCTTCAGCAAAATTGGCTTGACCTTTTTCTAACTCACTCTGCTTTTTTCTTTTCTTTTCTCCACTCTAGTTGCCTATGTATTTTTTTTCCTTAAGTTCTTGACTTGAATGCTGAATTCAGCACATTCTTTCTTGCCTTCCCATGTTTTTATGTTTGTTTATTCGTGGTGCTGCTGCTGACCCAGAGCACACCCACAGGCCTCCTGCTTTAAAAAATTCTATTTATTTTGTATGTACACATGTACAGGCACATCTGCACATGCGCGCTGCTGTGCATGTGGAAGTCAGAGGGCAACTTGTAGCAGTCTGTTGTCTCTCTCCACCACGCAGTTCTGAGGATGGAACTCAAGGGGAAGGCTTGGCCGTGAGTGCCTTTATCTGCTGAGTCATCTTGCCAGCCCTTTCCTGCTTCTTTAAGTGACACAACTAGAAGTGGGATCTTACTTGCAGAGGTGTGGCTACACAACTTTCTCTCCTTGACTTTGTTCTCAGTTCTAGGACAGCATGGCCCAGGAAGGGTCAAGGCAGCCTGCAGATGTGTTCACACACAGAGACACACATGTCCATCACATGTCCTGCCAGTCTTTCTGGCTGAGGCCAGTTCTTGCCCCAGTAACAACAGAAACAGCAACCTGCCTACTATCATTGGTAAATCTGCTGGAATCAGCAAGACTTTTGCAAACAGGGAGCCAGGCCAAGCCACGTATTCAAAGGGTGATGGGTAAGAAGTTGACCACGTCTCCTGGACTTGGACCCAGGCTTGGGCACTGATAGTAAATAGCCTGGGTTGGAGCAGGCCACATGCTGGCATGATGGGGCAGGCCCTAGGTTCAGGGTAGAAAACAAAGAGCCTATTGGGGTTGAGGCTGCTCCAGAGGTGCCAGGAGAAAGGGTCACCCTTGCCTTCGCTAGGCAGTACGCTGGCAGACTCCTGGCCTGGCCTGGCTCTAATTCCCTTGCTGGGTTCCATGCAGAGAGAGCCTAAGTAATGGGAGAAATAACCAAGACTACTGTGTAGATGGTGACTGCCACTGCAGGCCACCACTGTCTAATAGGTGTACTGACATCGAGGCAGCAGGTGGGCTCTCTGCACCTCCTGGCAGCCTCTACAGACGAACAGATACCAGCTCAGAAAAGGAGTCCCTGCCGTCAAGACCAAGCTTTTCCATTATGCCAGGCAGCAGATGTACTGTCCCTCACCAGCCCCTTTGCACTGGGGCCACAGGAGGCTAAGATCTGGTGTTCAGGAAGCAAAGGGCCCTTCCCTGTGCAGTAGATGGGTGGGCACAGCCCCCTTTCATTCCAGCCCATGGGATCCTGGGAGCCCTCTTCTTCCTTGCCAGGCAGACAGGCATGTATTCTCATACATTTCCTGGTTGGGCTCAAAAAAGAAATATCTTCAAAAAATGTATTAAGTGCACATGTCCTTTCCCCCTGGGATCTGAAGTCTTACAGAAACTGGCTGTGGTTTGGAGCTCACAGAAATTTCATCCTTTATTTCAAAATGTTTTCTGGCCTGCCTCTTTCCAAGACCAGAGTGCCATAGGACACTCTCCAAGCCACCTCACAGACAAGTCCTGACCCTCAGCCACCTTCCCCCGGAATCGGTGCAACTTTGCTAGGTCAGCAGCGAGGCGGCTCAGCGTGTACTTTCCTCGTGATGATCATTATTTCACCGGTGCACTGCCCACCGCCCAGGGGTGCTCTGCGGTGCCCTTCCTAGGCTGTCTCTGCCATCTATACAAGCCAACTTCTGAAGACTTGTCCAGACAACTTCACCACACTGCCTGTCTTTATCTCCAGAAGATTGTGGGCAAAACACAGGATTGAAGACCTACCATTTCTGAGCTCTGTTTCCGAGTGTCTAGTGCAGAAGCAAGTCCTCCAACAGCCTGGGGATCTTCATAGGTGACCCTGAAAAAGAGCAGTACAAGCGAGTTCTCTCCCAGTGCATGCAGAGGCGTGGTGGTGACCTGTAATCTTTTCCTCGGTAGCTGCCTCAGGCGTGATCTTAGTCTGTCTGTCTCCCAGCAGATATGGTGAGGAGGTAAGTTTTGGCACCAGCTCACGCCTAAAGTCAGTCCTCTAAGACCTGGGATAGTATATTTTTCAAACACCCCTGCCTTGAGTAACAATACTGAAGTTTAAAAAAAAAAAAGCTGTCCAAAGTTTTCTGGAAGTCCTCAAAGGAAGAGGCTTCAGAAGACAAAGCAATTATGTCACAAGTATCACCTCTACTGGGCTGAGTGGATGGTGTGCTATTTCTAGATGCAGCGGCTGTCTGCTTTGGAATCAGCCCTCCCATTTCTGTGTGGCTCATTTTGCCCAAGCTACTGTGGAAAAGCCTCTGCCTTGACTTTTTTGTTTTTTATTTTTTCTAGTTGGTTGTATGGAGGGAGTAGGTCTGGGTGCCCACGTGTGGGAGAGGGGCTGAATGAGGCAGGGTCTGTGTGGCTGTCATATTAGGGAAGCAGGATTTCTACCAAGCCCTGAGAGGTCTCTAGGAAAGAGAAAACAGTCTGTGACACACAAAAACAGGCCACCCTGGGGCAGAGGAGGAGAGACAGGGCTGGTACTCGCTCAGGTTAGCAGTTAACAAGTCCTCACTGTGGTATTTTTAAATTTCTAGCAGTCTTAAATCTGGTAAAGAAAGGGCTTCTTCCTCCTCCTCCTCCTCCTCCTCCTCCTCTTCCTCCTCCTCTTCTTCTTCTCCTTTTTCTTCTTCTTTTAATGTGACCCAGTTGGGACAACCCGCTCCCCCCTCCTAAGTGCCTGAAAAAAGCCACTGGAAAGAGCCCCACATACGTCTTTCGCTGTTCAGCCAAGGAGTTCCCTCTGGTCTGGGCAAACATGTCAAAACCATCCTGAGGCTTACACTGCTGGAGTGAACTGAGGGTGCCACTGACACTCTCTGTCCCCAAGTCTGTGACAACAAAACAAGAAGCAGATGAGAAAACAAAAAAAAAAAAAAGCAGGTTAAAAAAACTTGTAAAACTGTTTTATTATTGTATTATCATTCTCTCTCTCTCTCTCTCTCTGTATGTATGTCCATATACATGCACCTCAGATCATCAGGCTTGTATGGCAAATATCTTTATTCACTGAGCCAACATCTTGTTGACCCCAAAATAGGGGTTTTTGATGGAATGCCCCAAAAGTCAGGATGATAGTCTAGTGGGTTATGACACTGCAGGGTGACAAAGCTGTCCTCAGCACTCCCAGGACAGCATACACAAGAGCTGGAGCAAGCTAGATGGGAAACAGGCTTTGCCTTGAATCTGAAACTGCTCAAGGAGGGGAAAAGGTATCCTGGATAGAGAAGATACTGATGGTAGTGAGACGACGGGGACCAGGGTCAGCACACCTGCAGCTTTCCTACCATGTCCTTCTCGGGAGCCCCTTCACATCCACTCAGACACAAAGTCTAAGGATGTGAGCCACTTCTTTATCTGGAAGCTACATCCTAGGCACTCAGAGCCAGAACTCAGGTACGTCAGGTGGAATCTGCGTGGTCCTCCACCTCAGGAATTCATGCAAAACTGAACAGTTTGGAGGCCCAAACCTTGGCAATGTTTGGCTTTAAATATTGGGAGAGGCTCAGGGTGGGCCCTTCAAGATGCAAGAGAAGGGGGAGAGGATGGACAGAGGCCAGGGTTTGGAGAGCCAGGCTATGGGAAGTGTTAGCCCTTGAGAGGGACGAGTGAAAGGAACAATGAGATGAAGCAGAGAATGGAAAAGTACCAGGCGTTTTAAAGAAAGGAAAGTAGTGGATCTACTTTGAATTTTAGGTGTTGAATGTGGTGACCTGAGCCTAGCAAGGTGGCTTGCACTTGAACTCTTAGCACTTGAGAGGCTGAGACAGGAGGCTTGCTGTGAATTCAAGACTAGCTTGCACTACATATTGAGTTCCAGGCAGCTATTCAAAAAGCCAGGATCAATACAGGGCCAGCGAGATGGCTCAACAGGTAAAGGTACTTGTCACCAAGATCGATGGCCTGCTTTCAGTCCCTAAAACCTGCATGATGAAAGAACCAATTCCCACAAGTTGTCCTTCATCTCCACCTGTGCACCACGACACAAATGTGCACGCACACACACAAACTCACATACATGTATACACACCAAATAAAGAAATCATTTTAATTTAAAATTTTAAAGCCATACATATATGACATATGTATATATTTAATGTATATATATGTATATATGTAATCAGTAGATAAATTGAAGGCAGAGACATCCACTCTATTATACAAAGAATTCTGAGACACCAGAATTGTAACAACTGATAGGCCACTGAATAAAAGTTTAATTCAACTGAAGTGAAATAAATACAGAATTATTAGGAAAAAGTAAACATAAAATCAAGGTAGAGGAAAGAATTTTGAAGGCCATGGTTTTTTTTTGTTTGTTTGTTTGTTTTTTGTTTGTTTTTTGTTTTGTTTTTTACCAATATTAGAATTTAATTTTGTATAACTTGGTATAAATGAAACATACAGAGTCATTCATACACTTTCATTGTGGAAAAGCGAGGAGTTTCTCTTAAATTTCAGACAATAGAACACTTTAGGTTGATGATATAGTTTGAGGTAGGCAAATAAATCATGCCACCACTTTCTGTTTCCTAGCCCCGTGCGGACATTGCCAATCTACCACAGATTCATCTTTTAGGGACTGGAGTGTAACAGTTAGATTTAATTGTCAGCTTTACATAATCTAGAATCATCTGAGAAGAGAATCTCAGCGAGGTACTCTCTGGATCAGGTTGAGACTATGGGCTCATTTTTAGGGGGTTGTTCTGATTGCATTAATGGAGGGGGAGGACCCATCTATCATGAATAGCAATATGCCGTGGGTTCAGGTTCTGGACTGTATGATGAATGCAGGGCTGAGCACAAATAAGCACACATGCATTCATTCTCTCTGCTCTTGACTGTAGATGTGACCAGCTGCTTCAACTTCCTGCCTTGACTTCCCTGCAATGATGGACTGCAACCTAGAATTGTACGCCAAATAAACTTCCCCTAAGTTGCTTTTTGTCAGGGTAGTTATTACAGTAACAGAAATGAAACTAGGGCAATGTAGCTTTAGCTGCCCATCAAACCTGTGTTCTGAGCAGCCAGTGAGATGAGACTCACTTGCCACCTTTAGCCTAGCTAATAATGAAAAATAAATCATTTCAAGCACAAAGAATTTTCCAGATAAAACATGGCAGGTTACTTGTCTTCTAAAAAGTAAACAATTTCTACATCCTTGGAACGTCCTCCACCTCTACTTTCCAGCAGGGCTTAAACTTTAAATTTTAGGAAAGAAGTTATGAATTGACGATGGTGCAATTGGCTGGGACCCAGGAACACACCTTCATGGGGACCACTCCAAAGGCTCTGTCTGACCTCCCAACAAAGAGAAAGATATCCAGGGAGGAAGGGAGGGAAGAGGGAGGTCCTTTCCTCCACTTTCAGACACTCACCCAAGCCTGCGAGTTGGGAGGAGAGAGAAGATGGGGGCGCTGTGCTCCCCACCATGGGGCTCACCACAGCGGGAGAGCCCGGGCCCAGGTCTATTAAGTTGTCTTCAGTCACTTCGCTCAGCACCTGTCAGGACATGAGGTTGACAGTGAGGTCAGCCCTTGGGTTAAGCTCCGGCTACGCAGATACAGCCCTGCATACACTCATAAGGAAGGGCATTAATGCTGTCTAGCAAACGGAAGGTGGCTCTCCTTACCTACCTAAAGGGTGCAGAGTGAACCCGAGTTATCAGTGAGCCCCATACCCTGGCCCACTCTTCTCCCTTCTCATTAAAGTGGTGATTCATTAAAGTGAATCATTAAAGTGGTGACTCACTCTGGGCTGTGGACTGTCTTCCTCCTGCCTTCCCATCAGGATGCCTGCTAGCTCTCTGCTGGGCTCCCTCCTAACAGAGCTTGCTATACAGTATTTGTACTTACTCCCACTTAGAAAACCAGAAAGGAGGCCTGAGTAGGCACACTCTAAAAGCTCTAATGTATGTATTGGATAGGTGCCCACTTCAAAAGACAAGGGAGGGCCACAGGACACTTACTCCATTGCTGGCATTCTGAACAGATCGGCCGGACCTGTACCTCTCGAACCTAATGGAAAGGAGAGCAGACATAAGGAGACTGTCAGTGAGGCCCAAAGGACTATGCTCATACCCTAAGAAGAACACTGGGACCCAGAAGAGGCAGGAGGCTGGCCAGTACCATTAGTATTATTCAACTGTGTCATGCTTTCCTTGACATGGGACTCCTGTCTCACAGGTTTACCTCCACTATCTCTTCCCATTTGTACTTGGAGCTGGCATCAGGGACAGGTTCTAGGAGGAGGCTACCAGAAGCATCCCTAGCCATCTGCCCACACTTCTGGCCCCAATGCTCCGCCAGTCCCTGAAGGTGTGACTGTGTCACCGGGTCTCTACATGGTCATTTGTGAAATCTGGCAGTAAGTGCAGCCCTCCCTCTACTCTCTCTACTCCACAGAGCTCTGCTTGGGGGTAAACAGCTCGTGGCTAAAATTCTCCCAGCCCAACCTCAGGAAGCAGGACACGGGGCTAGAGAAAGGCCTTGCCAGAAATGGTAAGATGGTTTGTGCCAACTACCTAAGGGCTGCCAGAAAGACAAGACAGAACAGGCCCTTCCAGAGACACTCTCCTCCACACCCAGTCAGCAAATGGCTACCAAGGGAGCTTAGCTGAGAGCAACTGCAGAAAAACATCTCCTCTGCCAGAAGTCATTCTTACACCTGGTAGGAGATGTGAGGTGTCCATAGGGAACAATAGATCTGTTCTGCATTGTATTTAAAAGCTCCAAAAGGACACAGGCAAAGCACCTTACTCCAGCCCAGGAAACCAGACTCCAGAGAGACGATGCTCTATGCTGCCACCCCCTAGTGGGTGGCATCAGCATCTGGGACAAGGGATCCCAGAAGGAACAGTCTGCCTAAATGTACACTGTAGGGCTTTTGTTTTGAGTTTAGAGAGTGTATTAGATGCATAGGTAGAATACAAAAGAGCAAAGAGTTGTGTGACAAAGACAAGTGTTCTAGATAAGAGAGAAAGCACCAAAGTACCAAAGAAAGCATACTTAGGCTCTGGCCAGCATATGAAAGAAAAAGACAGAAAAGAAGAAAGTCTTGACTCAGAAAGGTGAGTAGACCTAAGTGAGCCATGGCAGCTCATAGAGGCTGTGCCTTCTTTATTTATTTATTTTTATGGGCTAGGCATGGTGGTGTATGCTTTTAATCCCATGAGTTGGGAGGCAAAGGCAGGAGGATCTCTGGGAGTTTGAGGCCAGCCTGGTCTACATAGCAAGTTCCAGGACAGCCAGGACTACATAGAGAGATCCTGCCCCAAACAAGAAAAACAAACAAACAAATAAATAAATAAATACATGCATACATACATACATACATACATACATACATACATACATACATACATAGTAGGAGCCAGAGGATTCAAGAACATCAGGAGATGTTCAAGTACCAACTAAGCAGGGCTCACAGAGAATGAAGCAGGAAGCATGGAGCCTGCGTGGGTCTGCGCTATGTCCTTTGCATATATGTTATGGTTGTTAGCTCGGTGTTTTAGTGGGACTCCTAACAGTGGGAGTAGGGGTGTCTCTGACCCTTTGGCCTGCTCTTGGGACCCTTTTCCTCCTACTTGCCTTGACATGAAGGTTTGTGCCTAGTCTTAGCACATCTTGTCACACTGCACTCAGTTGTTATCCCTGGGAAGCCTGCTCTTTTCTAAAGGGAAGCAGTGGGGGAGTGCACGGGGAGGAGTGAAGGGAGGGTATCTATTGAAAAACAAAAACAAAAGTAAAAAGAAAAATGGAAAGACTACATGGGCATGGTGGTGTATCATTGTTATCTGAGCATCGGGGAGAAACTGGGTCAGGAAGGTCATGAGCTCAAGGCCAGTCTGAGACATACATGTATATAATATATGTGTGTGTATGTGTATATATATATATATATATATATATATATATATATATATAGAGAGAGAGAGAGAGAGAGAGAGAGACAGAGAGACAGAGAGACAGAGAGACAGAGAGACAGAGAGAGACAGAGACTCTGTTCTCTATACCCCTCCTTAAAAAACAAAAGCAAGGCTAATATCCAGTATATATAAAGAACTAAAGAAGCTGAAAAGCAACAAACCAAGTAATCCAATTAAAAAATGGGGAACAGAGCTAAAGAGAATTCTCAATAGAGGAATATCGAATGGCAGAGAAACACTTAAAGAAATGCTCAACGTCATTAGCCATCAGGGAAATGCAAGTCAAAACGACCCTGAGATTTCACCTTACACCCATCAGAATGGCCAAGATGAAAAACTCAAGTGACAGCACATGCTGGAGAGGTTGTGGAGAAAGGGGAACCCTCCTCCACTGCTGGTGGGAATATAAACTTGTACAACCACTCTGGAAATCAATCTGGCGCTTTCTCAGACAACTAGGAATAGCGCTTCCTCAAGATCCAGCCATACCACTCCTAGGCATATATCCAAAAGAGGCTCAAGTACACAATAAGGACATTTGCTCAACCATGTTTGTAGCAGCTTTATTTGTAATAGCCAGAAGCTGGAAACAGCCCAGATGCCTCTCAACTGAAGAATGGATGCAGAAATTGTGGTATATCTACACAATGGAATATTACTCAGCAATGAAAAATAAGGAAATCATGAAATTTGCAGGTAAATGGTGGGATCTGGAAAGGATCATCCTGAGTGAGCTGTCCCAGAAGCAGAAAGACACACACGGTATATACTCATTCATATAGACATAAAATATAGGCTAAACCTACTAAAATCTGTACACCTAAAGAAACTAATCAAGAGGGAGGACCCTGACTAAAATGCTCAATCCCTATCCTGAAAGGCAAAGAGATGGACATCAGAAGAAGAAGAAAACAGGAAACAAGTTAGGAACCTGCCACAGAGGACCTCTGAAATCCTCTGCCCTGCAGACTATCAAAGCAAATGCTGAGATTTATGGCCAACTGTTGGGCAGAGTGCATGGAATCTTATGAAAGAAGTGGGAAATAGTAAGATCTGGAGAGAACAGGAACTCCACAAGGAGAGCAACAGAACCAGAAAATTTGAACACAGGGATCTTTCCAGAGACTCATATTCCAACCAAGTACCAGGCATGGAGATAACCTAGAACCCCTGTACAGATGTAGCCCATGGCAGTTCAGTGTCCAAGTGTGTTCCATAGTAATGGGAAGAGAGACTGCCTCTGACATAATCTGATTGGCCTGCTCTTTGATCACCTCCCCCTGAGCGGGGAGCAGCCTTACCAGGCCACAGAAGATGACAATGCAGCCACTCCTGATGAGATCTGATAGACTAAGATCAGAAGGAAGGAGAGGAGGACCTCCCCTATCAGTGGACTTGGGGAGGGGCATGCGTGAAGAAGGGGGAGGGAAGGTGGGATTAGGAGGGGAGGAGGGTGGGGTTATGGGGGATACAAAGTGCATAAAGTGTAACTAATTAAAAAAATGTAAAAAAAAAAAAAACCAAAAGCAAAACAAAAATCTCATCAAAATAAATTAAACAATAGACTAAGAAACCAGAATGTGTGGCTCTCAACAGCAGTCTCTGACGCCCAGTGCTGCCTCTGAAGTCTCTGGACCTGCAATGGACTTACAGGTGACAGTCCCACATTAGTTCTTGCTACATACCTCCAATAAAGGCTTAAGTGGACTTAATGGGCCGGGAGGTGGGGTCCTCAGATTGGACATGCTGCCAGCAAGCCCACATTCCCATAGAGATCATCCACTCGATGAGTACAGGACCACCCATCCCTTCTGCCAGTCAGGAGCTAAGCACAGGATGGCCCTCTGAGCCTCAACGCATAGGCAAACAGTGCCTGCCTCTTGTTCTTAACTATGTCAGATCATTGTCTTTTGACAAACCTAGACAGGAAGCTGTCAGGCGGCAGAGGGAATGGGCCACAAGCCTCCAAGGGATTCACACTGCTGGCAGGCTCTTTTAATGGAGAAGGCTGGCCCAGACTCAAGGCAAGCCACAACCCTGGGCCAATTGGGAAACTGCCCAAACCAGGGTACAGATGGGAGCTGTTTTCTCAATGCTAGGTCCAGAAGAGATGTTTTTATGACTCTGTCTTGTGGGAGGCTTTGGAAAGAAAAAGGAGGGTTCAAGTTTGTCACTTTACGCAGTCTGGCTGCAGGAAGAATTGAAGAAATGTGTGCTTCCCCAGAGAAACTGTTCACACCCTGCCTACTTCACTCAATACCCCAGACTACTGACATTTACAAAGGAAAAGATCTTTTTTTCTCATTTCAAGACTAGAAATAGAGGAAATCCTTTTCTTTAGTAAAGGTCCCCCTCCCCCAGTCCTTTTCAAATCCAAAGGATCATCAAAGGAGCAGGTGCAGACCCGTCCCAGCCTCCCTGGGACTCACAAAGAGCAGAGGTGGATTCTGCAGTCAGCTACCTGCTGCTCTGTTCTCTGGAGAACAAGAAGCACTTTTTCTGTCATCCAAGAACAAATGAGCATCTGCGATGAGAACTTTCCGCCTCGAACACCTCCCAGGCTCTCTGCCTCCCTCTCCCTGCTTTGTTTGTGAATGAAATTCCTCTGGTATGCCAATCATCTTTTCTAGGGAAAAGACCCCAAAGGACTCTGGCCCCACCTCTCATAGCGGAGGAAGACGTTGTTGAGGTCGTCGTTGACGTGCAGCAGCTCCTCCGTGACCTCCTCATTGGACACTCGGGAGATGAGCTCCACTATGCGGTGCTGCATGGCCCGGCAGGTCCTGTTCAACTCCTAGGAAACACATGCACTTCTGGCAGAGCCTGCTGGGAATGCTTTTCTCACATTCGACTGCCTTTGAAAGGATTTGTACTGATTCTTGAAAGTCATGGAAGGAGAACATGCTTGTTCATAAAACCAGACGTGTGCAGAATGAGAACAGCTCTCTCCTCTCCTGCCTCAGAGGAAGCACTTCAACAGATGGCACAAGCATGCGCATACACGCTTTACACACACACAGAGAGATATACACACTGCTGTGTGTACACAAGTACGTGGTGGTACAAGTCACTTTTTAAAAAGAATATCTTAATGCAAATAAATTTGAAAATCAATATGAGATACCTATAAAGATATAATTTAATAAAGTTATTCAAGCAGACATTCCTATAATTCCATTAAAAACAAAATAAGTTAAACCATCACAAACGGAATAGGCTTTGATGCAGTTTTATGAGAAAGTACACTCTACCTGGGGCGAATCTGGATGACTGAAATAATACAATAAAGCCCATTTTGCTTTGTCTTTGTCAGTTAAGCTTTTATCTATGTTTGATTTTGGTTCTAAAGTTAAACCATCACTCCCTAGTGTTAAGGTTCTGCCACACACTGTCCGGGCTCAGGTGTTAGATGACTTCAACAGTTAACTACAAATCATTTTAAAAGATTTTTGAAATTTTATGTGTGTGTGTGCCTGAGAACATTCATGTGCACCACCTGACTGAAGGTGTCCACGGAGGCTAGGAGACTGTGTCAGATCCTCTGAAACGGGAGTTACAGGCAGTTGTGAATTGAACAGTGTGGGTGCTGACAATAGAATCCGAGGCCTCTGCAAGAGCAGCAAGTGCTCCTAACTGCTGAGCCATTTCTCAGGCCCTGTACAAATCATTTTTAAGGTAGGAAAACATGGTTCTTTGGGCTTGCTTCTTGGGCTCCTTTGCCTGCCACTTTGTACAGACTACCTCGTTTCTTTGCATGTATGCCACACTACACAGAGCTTGCTATTCCACTACTGTTGGGCATGTGGCTTGTGGTATATCTGTCTTTCTTTGGCCAAGCCAAACAATGCAGCAGTTAACACTCAGGCCAGTTCTTACATACTCAGGCAAGCACTTGCACTGCATGATTTCCTCAGAAGTAGAATCTCTCTCTCTCGTGAAAGCATTGCATTTAGAGCATAGATTGGTGGTCAGCGTGAAAGACCCTCCACAAATGGGGATGCTTTACTTGCATTGCTAGCAATATAGCATGATTGTATCTTATGACAGCATCAGGTACTTTATGGTGACATGGACATTACCTTGCTGGGGTCTCAGATGTGCCCCAGTTCTCACAGAGTTCTCTGTTGGCCAAAGAGGGCACCTGAAAACCCCAGCAATCATAGAAACCCTCTCAACTCTTCAAAGCTATACCCTCTTAAGACAGACCCTGTACCTCATAGGAGCCACCCTGCCCCAGAGCAAGCTCCTAGCTAGGCTTTTGTTTGCAGAGCGCCTTAAGCATCTTGTATGACAGACTGACGATGCAACAGAAGAAATATGTCAGGCTTTCAGGCTGGCCCCTTGGCCTTCCTGTGGGCTACGGGGGTGGGGGTGGGGGTGGGGGTGGGGGTGAAGGCAGACATGAAATACTGCTCCTGGACACCGCAGGGAGCTAATAATGCAAACAATAAAGCTGGCCAAACTTCCTCCCCTCAGCTCCACCTCAGAACTAGCTTGGTCTGAAGATGGGTCTTACAGAGTACCAGATCTAGTCACAGCAGGCACGGGCAATCTTAGCCTCTTTTGGTCTCATCATCCCACTGTCCTCCCTAGAAGACCTCCCTTCCCATTTCCCCAGCACCGAGGCTGGTACATAGCGGGCACTTCCCAATGTCCCTGAGAGAATGAATAGATAAGGCAGGGAGCATTCCTCTACCCCTCAGTGCTCCAGCCCTCAATGCTGCGGTTTGTGTGTCCTAAGCCTCACTGTGCGCCCTCCTCCCACAGTGCTCGGCTTTAGGGCTCCATAGTGCCCACCAGCACATAAAGCCTGGATCACCCCCACACAGCTATATTTATCAGCTCAGAAGAGACCTGGACTTGGCTGTGTAAACAAGTCTGGTGTTTACCTGACCAAAAGGATTTCTTGAGACTCCTCCACCCTGGATCTGACCACCCTGCAGGGCCTGTTACCCTCTGTCTAGCCAGAAGAGCACTATCAGTTTCTTGAGCATCACAGAAGGAATCCCAGTGTCTGGACCTTCCAGATGTTTCTCTGAACAGACCCCTCCTCCCTCTTGGCTCTCCAAAGACTCCTACCCTAGGTTTGGAGAAGGAAGTATGATCCCTAGAAGAGGTTCTCCAACAAAGGCAGACCTCACCACATAGGCCCAGGACAAGAAAGCATGACCCTGTCTAGTACTTATGGCTAAGCAACAATTCTTGGCTGGCTTTGGTTGGAGAAAGAGAAGGAAAAAGTCAGTCAGTTCTCCTTCAAACTGGCCAAGGGCAAGGTGAAAGACCAGCAAGTCAGGGAGAATCATGGCATGTTGTTGCAAACATTTCCAAGGCTCTCCAGAGCCCTGGGCATCACCTTCTAGAGCCCATGGGTCATCTCCAAACATGTCTTAGACTTTCAAGGATGGGAGGTGGCCTCATGTACTCACCACACCGCTCAGGATGGTGGGGAGCTGGCCCTCTCTGTCAGCAATGTCCTTTCCTTTCCATTAAACTCCTACTTATCCTTTGAGACCTCAGGATGTTTCCCTACCCCAGTATATCATCATATTAAATTTCAAAAATATAGCAAAGTGCCAGGCATGGCACATATTTTTACAGCATTTGGGAGTCAGAGGCAGTTAGATCTCTCTGAGCTTGAGGCCAGCCATCATGCTCTATATAGCAAGTTCCAGGACAGCTAGCTACACAGAGACACCCTATCTCAAAAACAAACCATACAGGTGCTAGAGAGGTGGCTCTCAGGTAAGAGCACTTGCTGTTCTCTAGAGGACCCAGGTTCAGTTCTCAGAACCCACATGGTGGCTCACTATCATTTGTCATTTATATGGTGTACATAAATGCACACAGACAAAACACTCACACACATAAAGCAAAATAGATACACATTTAAAAATACATACATACATACGTGTGTGCACACGTATCATCCATGTGCCACCACTTATATTTTGCAGTGTCAGCCTTTCCATGTAACTCCCACATATTTCTCTCCCTACCTGCTCAGAATGTTTTCTCGAGATTCTGGAAGATCCTCCCTTAACAGGGCTCACACATCATTCCAGACCTGGACTGCAACGGCTGCCCTGCACTGTCCCCAGAGCTCTTTTAGCAGAGCCTCCAAGTAATGACTAGCTTGCTCTATTCCCAAGAGTGGAAGCCCGGGACAAGAGCTAGATTCAGACCCTAGATTCACAGGAGAGTCATACAGGACTTCTCAGCACACAGCACAGCTAGGCATGGATGTATACGCTTCTGATCTCAGGAGGCCCAGGCAGGTGGATTGCAAGCTAGAGGCCATACAAGACAGCATAGTGTGATGCTGTCTCTCAGCAAAACCAAGAAGAGCAGCCAACCAAAATTCATGGCTGCAAGTCGGTAAACTCAGGGTCCCACCTGAAAACGGAAGCAAGCGAGGTTATCATTGCTTCCATCACAGAGCCCCACCCTGGACAGGTGCTGAGGACTAAGCAGCAGTAGCAAGCAGTATATTCTCCACACCCCGGGCTCTGCTTTTACCTGTATAAAATACACAGACCTTTGCAGAGTCCCACCAAGGCATCTCAGGGACATCTAGGGACCTGCTACATTGCCAGATTACAGAATTCACCTTGGAGGAAGGATCCCATTACTTTCAAAGCCCATTAGGAAAGTGCTAGCCGACTTCTGAAGAACAAGAGCAAAGGGCACAGAGGGAGTGAGCTCATAGACACTAACCCCAGAAGCTTCTGCTTTGACTTTGCATTTGCTGCTTCTCTCTCTGCCCCTCCTGCCAGGGTACTGGGAGAGAAGTCTCTCTTTTCAGAGTCTCACAGGCAGCACGTGGAAGATGCCTCAAGGGCTGTCATAAGCACTCTGCTCACACATTCCAGCCTTCTGACTTCTCTGCACATCTCCTGACTTCGACTCTCAAACCGCTGTCTCATAAAGGGGTGAAAAAGAGTCAAAATCCCATATATGTAGGACAAAATTATTCTAAAGAATATATTAGCAATCTAAAAATTCATGTGTTATTGATCAGTGGTGCATCTATCTAATTCTAAAGTACAACATGCACTTACTTATGACTTACAACTGAATGTGGCTCCAGGTCCAGCTGATAGGACACCCTCTCCTGACCTCTTCTGACACCAGACACACATATGAGACACAGACAGACATGAGTACAAGACCCTTATACACAAAAGTAAAATAATGAATCTTTAGAGAAGGCAGGATTAGAAAGATGGCTCAGTGGTAGAAAATGTGTGCTGCTCTTGCAGGGGACGTGAGTTCCGTTCCTAGCATGCACATAGGGCGCCCCATAACCACGTAACTCTGGAGCTATGGCACCCTCTCCTGGTCTCTGTGGGCTCCTGCACTCATAGGCACATACCCTCCCACAGTAACATAATTAAAAATAAAAATGAATCATTTTTAAAAAGAAAAAAAAGAGATGGAGCAAAACCTTGGAATTTGTGCCACCCCTTTGCCAAGTGGTGTCCATGTGGCTGCTCTGATGCCATCCACAGCCAACACAGCAGGCTCAGTTGGAGATACTCCTGTTCCCTCCATTCAAAATCATGTGAAGGAGTGACTGATTCTCTTCTGGCCCAGAGGCCCTTAAGCTAGCAGTTGTGCAGCTCTCCCTTTCCACTATACAGACTCTGGGCCAGGAATCCCTTCAGTGCCAAAGACTTCTGCTTTGGCATCCTCCTATCTCCGGTTCTCAGCAGCCAGTCACTTCTGCAAATGCCTGCCGTCAGTCAGAACACTATATCAAATACCCTCTTTGTTGCCTAGTTAACCCTGGTGCTGTTATCTTCTCTTCAAGAGACAGTTTCATCTCTCCCTCACAAAACAATCTTTTTATCCTCTAAACCCTTTTTAAGTCAAAGAAGCAGAGAATTCGGTCCTGAAGGTTTGTCCTGTTGCAGCAGCAAAGAGGAAGGGAAAGAGGGAGGTCCCCTGATGAGAGAAGGAGAACATGAAACTAAACACTTGGAATATCCTAGATTTCCTGAGAAAATATGTTGGCTACTCTCTTTGTTGAAATGAGATGCACGAAGCAAGCAAGCAAGCCACAAGCTACTTAAACAGCAGAGAGCAGGGCTTATTTTTCATCTGATAAAGACCTATATAATATCCATCACTGCATACGTTATTATTAATTGAAGACAGCTTCAAAGGTTCAGTTAGTTCCCAATAAAACAAACTCAGTTTCAGCTAAGGACATGCACTTTAGGAAGGAAATGACAGCTTTGCACCTCCGGGCTCATCCCGTGTGTGTGTGTGTGGGGGGGGGAAGATGGCCCAGCATGCCAGTGGTGGCACCCACCTTGAATACTAATACTTGGGAGGCAGATCAGCCATGTCTCTATGAGTTTGAGGCCAGCCTTGTCTTTATAAAGCATACCAGGCTAGCCAGGGTCACATGGTAAGACTCTGTCTCAAAACAAAGAACAAAAAGAAGGTGCAGGATGACAAGAGATTTGACAGTATTGCTTCCTGTTCCTATACAAGTGGAATGCAAACAGCATGCACAGTGGCCAGTAGGTAGGTCTTACAACAATCCCTGGATACTTAAGGCTCTACTCACATGGGAAAGAATTTTCTCTGCTTTTGTCTAACACAGACCAAATTAAAGCTCAGGAAAAAGACTTGAGTCAATGTGCAGAAGGGCTTTTCAACAATGGTTACAGAAACTACAATCTATAGAGGACATGCCCTGTGACAGTCTCTTTCACAGTGATAGTAATCACTCCAGGCACCAAGGAAGGAGATACAGATGTAGGAAGGCTTTGCCTAACTCGGAGACTCCCACACTTGCATCCAGCCATTTGTAAGTTGTCTGCCCTGCTGTGTTCACAGGCCAACCTAGATGCCTGCTGGAAACAAACAGTGCTTTTACGACAGCCAGAACAGCTTGTCACTGGGGTGTGAGGAAAAACCGATCCAAGACTCTGGAGAGGAAAGCTGGGCATAGGTGTTGAGTTGGACTAGCTGTCTGGAAGACGCTGCTCAACTCAGAAAGTGGAGGAACTAACACCCACCCTGGGAGGTGCTTAAAGTCCCTCCCAGAATCTTACCTCCTTGGGGCCTCCAGCAAAGCTGACAGCACTAGGTGTTACTGGCCTTGGCCTTTCCTCAAAGACAAGTCACTTTTCCAGGAATCCTCAAACAAGTAGTTCACAAGTTTCCCTGTTGCTCTCATGGGTTGTGGGAGGACACATCTGGAAGAGCTTTGCCATAAGCAGGAAGCAACGGGGATGCAAACTGCCCATGAGTTCAATTAGCCACGGGTACATCCTGAGGATGGCACCTCCAATTACCTCTCTGACCACTCCCTGTACCTTCTAGCCATCAACTTGCACTCATGTCAAGAGCAGCTTGTGTCTGTTGGTGGGGACATTTGGTCTGGTGACAAATATGTTTATTTCCAGGGCCCTGGCCAACATTCTAAGCTCTAGACTACTTGTGCCCTGAGCATTCTGGCTGTCTTCCATCTTGCACAAGGAGTCTTGGGGGCAGATTCTGACCCCATAATGTTCCAAGAGGACAGTGGCATTTTCCCATATGGAAGGCTCGCGATTCTGTGGGCGCCACAGCCTGCTGTTGGCTGACTGTTGGGGCAGGAGAAGGGCGACATAAGGCAGTGGCCTCCAGCCAGGAAAAGTGAGTCTGTTCACACAGCTACCCGTTCCTGCCTCTTCCACACTGAAATGACAGCCTCCCGCAGGCTCCCAGACATAGTCTTTTTCTGTTTGATTTATATGACAGCAGTGGGGGCCAGTAGGCTCTGAGTTGGAACAAAACAGAGTGAAGGAAAATGTCATTGGAAGCAACCTATTTTTGAAAACTGAGCTGATGCCAGGAGACTAGGCTCTGTTATTCTTGGCTGATGAGCTTGTTTAAACAAATAAACAAATACCCTGCAACCACACGCGTTCGCACGCATGCATGCATGCATGCACGCACGCACGCACACACACACACACACACACACACACACACTATTCTGCTGTCTGTTTTGGCTTTCTGGAACCATCTTAGTGTTGCTCAACCCACTTTCTACTGTCAGGAGCTGGGTTCTGCCCGGAGCACCAGTCCCCACCCCAAAGAAGGAATTCCAGCACTGATGCAGCATAGTGTCGCCACGTCACCCTGGACTAGCCAGATTCTTGTGCACCATGGGATACCTATCAGAGTCCTCCTGCAGGCCAGGGTAGAGGCCAGTGATGGGGTGTTAGAGAGAGGTAGGCCCACAGAGCATATCACACGGTCACCACCTCATGAACCAGGAGCCTGGTTTGCTGCAGGTGTCAGGGAACCAGAGAGGGGGTGCTCAGTGCTCCATACTAGCCAAGGGTACCTGTCTCAGCTTCAAGAGCAGCCTGATGTCCAGGTCCCTTGCAGGTGAGCAGTTTCCTTATCTGTCTCCTGTATTTAGCTGGGAGCTCCCTGAAGCAAGATCTATATCTCCTATTGTCTATGATTCTCAGACTATATAGTTGGTGCTGGACCAGGAGAAGGCCTTTACCCAGCCTTGTCCCATAGGAACTAAGGGCATGGAGTGGGGACTGGGAACTCCAAGCAGCAGAATGAAGGGTGTGCATATTACCAAAGCGCAGGACCATCAGTGCTGAGTTTCATAGGTAGCCAGTGAGTGCATACAAAGTACACACAAAGTGGGAGATGCAGCGCTCAGGTGGACAAGACTGCCAGACAGAAACAGCAACAGCAGTAGCAGCTGTGTCATGAGGCATGAGGTCAGGTCATCAAGCCAGTATGACTCCTGATCTGTCCACTCATGAACCTTGCCTCTTGGAGGAGGGATCTGGTACTTGTAGCTCACAGCATCCTTTCTCTGCCCTTGCAGAAGGTCACTATTCCGGAGAGCAGTGCCACTGCCACTTTCTGCAGGCAGTCATTGCAGGCTAATATAACAGAGCTCTGCCTCTGGCTCTGGGCCTCACAGGCTCACAACCAACTGAAGGGTGGGACTGCAGGCTGGCTTGCTCCTGTCTCCATTTCCTGCCATGCTGAAGCTATGCAGGGTGGGCTAGGGGTGTGGTTCAGCGGGGAAGTAGCTTGTCTAGTGTGCAGAGGCCCAGGTCCCATCTCTAGCATCACGATTTATACTGCCCAGAAGCAAAGAGGCAGGGGGTGGGGTTGCAGCTTCTCGGGAACCATAGAGAACCACCAACCCCAGCCTGATGTCCCAGAGAACAGGAGCTCTGAATTTGCCTCTGAATCTCCTTGGGATGAGGGAATATCAGGATTTCTCTATGCCATCGAGGACCCAGAACTCTTATTCCAGGATGTTTATGACGCAATAACAAGGGAGCAGCAAAGCCACGCACAAGATTGTATGCACAGCATGATTTCAACTTGATGTAAAATAAATGGACATAAAAAAAGAGTCTTACTGAAAATAAATCAAAATGTAAACCACTTATTGCAGATGGCTAAAAGCTAAGGAAAATTATTTTTTTGTTTTGATAGGAACATATTCCACAGCTGTTGCTTTAGACTCGGGGAAAAAGTTATTAAAGAAAAATATTTAAAGTACAGAGAGCAATACTGGCCTCTACCCATCTCCAAGAAGTAAAGCTGAATATGAACCAATATGGGCTTGCACCCTCTCCACCATGGTGCCACCAGACTTGTCAGTTTGGTTGTGCACCCAAGTAGGATTCTACCATGGTGTGCAGCTGCAGCATTGCCACTAACAGACCCAGCCAGGAACTCGGCCCACGCTTCATAGTTAAAGCTGTCCTCACCTGTAGTAGCTCCAGGTCAGAAGAGTCCTCCTGCCCAGGGACCATTTCTGTTAACATCTCAGACATGACTTTGGTGTTCCCCCGAACAATGTCCAGCTCACTGCGCAGCCTAGCAATCTGTAGGTCAAGGAGAAGGCAAGACGAAGGTCAGTTAGCCACAAGATCATAATCAGCCAGCTCATGGCCTGAGAGATCAGGCCTACTGTGAGATCGACTAGATCAACCTCAACATGCATGCCAGGAGTGGCCTTCTTATCTCCCTTGCTCTGCCTATCGAGGCTGGCAGTATGGTGAGAACTGCATGGAGGAAGCACTAGAGCCCTGGCCACTAACAGTCTGTGGTTGGTACCTCCCTGGCCATGATGGCGAATAATGTACTGTGAATAACCGAGGCAGAAGAAAGCTGAGTACTCACAGCTCTTCTTCCACAGGGCCCTGAAAAAATCCTAAGCTTCTACCTAGGCTTCTGTTTCTTCTCTCTAAAAATCAGTGTATGGGGGTTGGAGAGATGGCTCAGTGGTTAAGAGCACTGTATGTTCTTTCAAAGGACCTGGGTTCAATTTCCAGCACCCACATGGCAGTCCACAACTGTTTGTAACTTCAGCTCTAAGCGATCCAATGCCATCCTACTAATGCACATAAAATAAAATCAAACAAATTAGGAAAAAAACCCCAACAGTGTATGGTAGTGCAGGTGCTCCAAGACCCCCTTAGGGTAGAATGACCCTCATGCTCATAGACTCTGTCCCTGCCAGTGTCATACCCTAAGGGAGGCTGGCCAGTGCTCATAACATTCTTCTGAGATGGTGAGGCATTAGAGCAGACTCAAGATCACCCCACCCTGCTCAGTCAGCAGCATCCCCAAATCTGAGCTTTCTCTCCTGCAGTTGGCATACTATGCATCGTCTCCCTTTGTCTTCCAGTCCTGAGCTTTGGGTTACCTCCCGGGGTCTCTAATCCTTTCAAGGTACCAGTGGAAGCCACAGGGACCTTCTTTGTCCACAGTAAAGCTCATAAAAGTTATATAAAAAATGCCATATTTTCTGATAAGAGTCCAATGCACACCTGACAGAGTCACAGCCTGCCTGGAAATATGTGCAGAGCTCTAGAAGACCCAGTGAGTAGAGGGTGCCATAGCAACAGCAATGTCCAGAGATGGACCAGCTCTTTCCAAGCTTATCCTCTTACCTATGGAAAGGGAATGATAGCCCACACCTCACAGGTTGCTGAGCAGCTAGCCTGGTAAACCTGTACAACGCATGCTGCTGACCACAGGCATGTCCTGTTCGTGTAGCTTCCCAGGGCTGGAGTGTTGGGGGAATCTTTTCATAAGATGTTTTTCTGTCCTTCCTTACCCGCCTAAGGCATTTTATGATTGGTTAAAATAAAGAGCTGAATGACCAATAGCTAGACAGGAGGAGACAGGAGAGGAAAAAATGCTGAGAAGGAGGGGGGGGGGAGTTTGCTAACGAGATGGAGAGGAAATCAGACATGCAGGGACTGAGGAGAGGTAATGAGTAGTGCGGGAGAAAGTAGATTGGGGTACACAGGTTAGTTTGAGTTGTAGGAGCTAGTTGGCTACCAGCATAAAATGAAGGCCTTAAGCATTTATAATTAATTAAAAGTCTCAGTGTCATTATTGGGAGTTGGCACCTTGAAGACAGTATGGTGACAGAGTGGGTACTTTTCTGCAAAAGACCTATTCCAGACCCATACATTTCTCTCCTAGCAAGGCCCTTCCACTTTCCCCTGGCTTGCTGAATACAAACATCCACGACCAGTCTCCCTCAGCCTCCCCTGTGCTGCAGGAGTCTCCGCAGTCTTAACTGCTCAGGAGACAGACAGAAAAAAGACCCACCTCAACAGTCACCTGGAAGATGGTTTGGGCTCAAAAAGGCCCTTGCCAGCCTCTGCCTTACTTGTGGGGTGGCCCCAGAGCCTCCTCAACATCTTGGTGAAGGAGATTCTACCACTGATGGGTTCTGAAGCAGGTCAGGCCAGACAATGAGGCCATTGTCTGCTTCAGTTTCCATTTTCTACCTGGGGTGGGAGCCACAGTTCAGAGTTCCTACACTTCTTACCACCCAGGGCCTCCTCTTGGCTATTCCAGCTGCTGAAGGGCCCTTTCTTGGCATCCACTACACTACAGTGAGCCAATGCAAGGACACCACCACCATCCAGCTTCAGATACTTTCTGCTTCCTCTTAGAGCAAACCTGGAGCTCTACCTGGAGCAGGGCCTACAGCCAAGACCTTCTGCCCTTCTCCCCTTTACAAAGGCTCCAGCTCTGAGTGAAGAGGGGCAGCATTCAGTGACCCAGCCTGACTTAGAACATTGACTCCACATTTCAGCAGTAGGATTGGACCAAGCCCCAGTATTTGGTGGCCACATGGGAACATCTTCCTTCTGTGGACCAGGGTCAGGGCCTGGCTACCTGCTCAGACTGAAGTTAGCTGTTTTAGTGAGGCGCTACATGGAGCAGCAGAATGCGGTTCACACCCAGGCCTGTGTGACTCCTTGCTTGCATCCTGCTTTCATTAATGCTCTCCTTAGCACTGGCAGAAGGACAGAGTCCTAGCACAACACTACTGTTACCTATAAACAATTGAATGAACCCTGTTTTAACAAGGTTCCACAGTAATGGCACTGTAACAAATAGGTACTAAAAACACTGAGTAATTATTTTCAAGTCTCACCCATTCTTAAATCTTAACTAATAGAACTTCTATAGATTCAACTAAAAATATTCTCCATAACTTCTCTAAAAATACAATTTAGTAAAATTATACTAACTTATCAGGAAGTGACCCTCTGACAAGAGGCAGTGTCTGATGGAGACAGGAAGAGGCTTCTGGAAGGCCTTCTTAATCTAGCTGCTGCCTCCAAGGTGCCTCATTGAATAAGTGTGAACTGTGGTAGCCGGCACATCTCACGGGATCCGTGCTCACCTCCCCAAGTGGTAAATGCCTATTTGCAGCTAAGCTATGCTCCTTTGCTTTGGACCTTGCTTTCTGTCATGACCTTCCTGCTCAGCCTACATGTTAATCTACTCTGCAGATGAGCTACTGGGTGTTCCCTGGTATGCCACTCCTCTGTGCTGTGTATGTCAATGATACTGCCTGCATAGGCTTCAGCTAATAAAACCCAGGCCCACTCCAGAGCCCTCAGCGCCATAGCCCCCAGCTGCCATCTATGCTCTGTTCAGCTCTGCTTCCCAACACAGCAAGAATACACACTATTGCAATGATCTCCAATCTGTCCACTCCAGGCCCTTCCATTTTTTTGTCCCTACCCCTCGCACAGTACCTGGAAATCCAGGGAGACTTCTGTACCCTGGAAAGGTACAAGAGGGCAGTAGTCTGCCTTGCTTACAGCCTGGAAGCACACAAATACCTGTTCTGAGTTGGCTGTGATGGGGCCAGTCACACTTAGAGCCGGGGCCTGCAGCGTAGAGTAGGAAGCTGGAGAAGGTGAGGGATAGGTGCCGGCATTTGTCCTGGGCTGCGACTGGGACCTGGGCATGGTGGTGGCCGGATCCATTTCTGGGACACTCTGGCATGACAACAATATTTTTGGTTCAGTTGGGTGCCTATGTGGCTTCGCTTGGCACGGCCCCCAACACAGGTGGTGCTTTCAGTTAGACTCCACCTGGCAGTCTGGGCAGTCTCTCCATCAGGGCAGTAGAGCCACCACTGTCTCTTTCTTTCCTCCCTCCCTCTTCCTTCTTCTCTCTGCCTTCCAAAGAATATGCTGCAGACAACCAATGTAACCCAAAAGGCCCCACGGGAAGCATCCTGGGAGCATTCCAGCCATTGGTTGGGATGTCATTAAGACTACTTCCAGGTCAGAGTTCTTACTAAGTTTTGCTAAATCATGAATCCTTACTTGGTACCACAGACTACTTTACAAGAAGACCCATATAAATAGCGATCATATAAACTTTTTCTTTGCAATTATCAGAACAGCAACACTGTTCCTTCTGTGTTGTTGAAAGAATACACAGGTTATGTTTATATGACAAAGCATAGTGATCTGTTCGGAGGGGTCACAAGACTAAGGCTCTGGGAAATGTACTTTATACCCTCTGCCCACACAGGTATCTCAGCTAGCCTCACCAACATCAGTACACGTGTTTACACAAGTATGGTGAGGATTCCATGTGAGAGACATGGCAGATGGAGACCAGTTAGGCCATGTCTGGTGAGCCATCGCTGGTACCTCTTCAGACTGGGTTATCCTGGTTCTGCTACCTGGGCTGGGAGCTGCTTCGTAGCCAGTACAGGAACTAATTTCCCAAAGGAACCGTGATTGGCACTGTCAGAATCCATTTAATTCTGAGTCACAGGGCCACTCTGGTGACTGTCAGCACAGAAAAAGGTTCTTCAGGATGTTTTAACACTGGACTTTCCTGGGTTTTGAGTCCCAGAGCTGACAGAATTTGAGAATGGCTGGACTGATGCTGAATGCCCACTGATTGCACTGCAATGTGGCTTAGTAACAGAATGCATTCTTAGCAGGCACAGGCCCTTGGTTCTAGCTCCAAAAACATATTAAAAGCAAAGAGATTACCTATTTTATAGTCACACTGTACTGTATACTGAGAGCTGCTCTTTGTCTCTGATGAGCAACACCACCCCTTGGTACCACAGAAAATAAGGACAGATTCTCACACATGATCTACAGTCTTCTGTAAAGCAGGTGCTAATGACCCTCACAGGATGGCTTAGCCAAAGCAGCCATTTCCATGAAAACTGCTGAGCTGAACCCTCTATCATATTCCTCCACTGTCAGTGTGAAACTGGGAGAGACGCTGCTGCCATTTAATCACCAGTCACCCAGCTGTCTCCCTCTGCATCCCCCTTGTTATTAAAAAGAAATGCCCTGGAGCTTTAAGAACACATGACAAGCTGAATAATGCAAAGGCATCAGCAAAAGGCTGGTATGATGCTTGGCTGGTCTACAGGCAGTCTTTCTAGAAGATACTAGCTGGAAGCTTACCCGCTGGGGTGTGTGGATAGGAGACAGGGCATCCAAGTCTGCCATGGGAAATTCAATTCCCTTCCTCTTCAGTTCTTCATATATGTGCACAACACCAGTGAGGTCAGGACTGCTCCTAAAAGCGTCTGCCCACGCCTGGGAGGAGAGAGGAAGGCCTGTCAGGAAGAGGAAGTGGTCCTTCCACAGGGTGGCAAGGTGCTGGGAAGTCAGCACAACCCTTTCTGAAGCTGGTGCCCAGTCAAGACACATTGGCAAATCCTATTTTGCTTCTCTCCTGCAATCAGTGCTGTGACACAGATGTTGAAGCCCTGGCTTTCAGGGATGCCACTGAATGTGAACAAATACATAAAACTTAATTCAGTATATATTTCCTTAGAGAAATGGCAGAGAATTAACACTGAAATACCTTGCATACCCTATGATGCAGGCATTTCCCTCATCTCAAGGAAATCAATAGCCAGAGCTATTGAAGGAAGTGAAGACTTACCTCAATGCCTCCCATTTGGAAGCCCGATCACCAGCCCCCCTCCGGCCACCTCACCTCCCCCATGGGGGCAGGAGCCATAAGCAAATTGAACAGAAAGAAGAGATATTGATGTGTGATGAGAAGTCAGGCTGACTCCTGTTTTCCTCGGCAGATCAGTCAGGACTAAAACTTGCTGGGTCCAGTCCTGTCACTAACAGGTGGCATGACTTCAGCCCAGGGGCACAAAGGTCTATCGGGAGCCAGGTTGGGGCTCACCCCACCTCTCAGGAGCCATGTATCAACCTGGTGCCTTTCTATTAAATTGTGCAGCTGACAGTTTCAGCATACATGTGCCCAAACACAGAAATGAAATTGAAAGTACCACCAGCAGATTGTCTTGAACAAAGAGAGTCCAAAAAGGAACAACAGACTTATGAACAGGTTACCACTGCTGGTGATGCGATGCACAGACTTCTTAACAATTAAAAAAAAAATCCTATTAAAACCCAGAAATTATTCAACAGCCTCTTTAGAAACAGGGTCCCCTGTGCCTTTACTGCAATATGCACCCAAAGGAGGAGTGCTACCTTTTAGAGATGTCACCATCACAGCATTTAATGGCCTACAGCCATGAGCTCCAGCCAATCCCAAGGCAGCCACAGAAAACCACCAGAGCCACTAGAAGTTAAAAGGCCATTTTCCCAAAAGCTTCCTTAATTGTATCCAATGCATATCATGCACTACAAACAACACTGTCAGCCTGGCTTTCCCTTCTTGATGCATTTATTTACTATGCGTACTTGGGGATTTTACATCACCATGACACCAGGACAGCCTATCTCTGCCAATCCTTTCTTCTGCATCTGAAGGTATCTACAGAGGCTGTTGGGGAGACCCAGATGGAGACCCATGCAGCCTCAGCCTTGGCCTGTCCTATTCTTCCCACTCCCACCAGCTGCTCTTGCTCTATCCTACTCAAAATCCAGCTCACTAGGCTTTCAGTTTAGGGACCAAGCTTGAGAGTCTCGGGGCTGGTGGTACAGCACTTGCCTAGCATGCATTAAACCCTGGTTCTACGCCCAGCCCTATAAAAAGAAATAATAAAAATAAATAAACTTTAGGATCTAAAAACTATGCTCACAGCCCACTGGGAGAGGTTGGGAAACAGCATGGTAGTTTTTCCTGGTGCCACTTCCTGCCTCTGTTTTCATGAAGAAACAAATGGCCCTGGGGACCTCCTTACCGTTTCCTTGCTCCAACCCAAACCTGAGTTTGAGATGACGAGAAAAAAAAAAGACTACAGGTCCATGCTGTTCTCTCTAGGTAGAAAGTCCTCAGGACTCCTCCCCATATTCAGACATGCTCAGGACCTATACCTGCCCTAGGGGACTGAGACATGTCCCAAGGTGGGACTATCAGGTTCTCCTCCGGCCAAGAGCTCAACCCTAAGTATAACAGTGAGCTGGATCCTTTTCCTCACCTAAGTAAATTGCCCTCTAAACATACGAGCCTGGTAAGTGGCTCAGGACCAGAGGACAGAGCTAGCTTGCATTGCTATGCTGAGTGGTGTGCAGAGAGATGTGATGGTTTCCTGACCTCTTCTGTCACTTCGCAGGTGCAGCTGTACCCTGGTCATGGTGACTAGGGTTTCTGGAAGGTCCTGCCTGTCATGACAAACTCTCCTCTTTAGCTAGACAGCAGGGTTGGCTTTAATTTGTAGACAAGAAGTCTTGATTAATATACCCTATCCCCACCTGCCACACTGCCAGCTCCTGTCTAGGTCCCCTGGGCAGCCTGGGCCAGACTGCTGAAAACAAAGCATATGCTCACAACAGCAATCTCCCCTGAATAAGAGTCTGATGCCAACAGAGGAACAAACAGAGGGAGGGAGGAGTAGGGATGGAGAAGGGAGGAAGGAGGAGGAACTCACTTTAAAGGAACAGTTGTATGTGAGGACATGGGGATGGGAGAAATTATAGCTGTCACATGTTCTAGCATCTTCTAGAGATATGCCTGGAAAACTGCTCTTCTCTCCCTCACCAGCTCAGGCATCTTTAAAAGGACACACAGGTCTCTTGCCCTTGTACACAGGAGGCAGTCAGTCAATAGCTGTCAGGCTAAATTTAATTGAGTTCTCACAGCTACTAAGCATCCTTATTTTCCTCCTTAAGGGGCAGAGGAGATGTCAGCAACTAATGGGACCGTGATGAAGTAGTGGCCCTGCTGCAGGCTGAACCAGAGAAGAACCCCCCCCAGGGGAGCTGAGGCTAGTTTTGGGAGGTCTTGGTCACCCTGAGCCCCTGAACTGAGGCCCAGGGTCAGTAGAGAGGATAGAGGCAGGGGGCTTCCCAGGTGACCACCTTATCAGGAAGCAGGCTCCAGGTAGCATAGTGCTGGCATTCTCTCAGGTTCTCTGTCACCAGTGCTACTTAGCCAATGACATGATGGCCACCTCACTAGATGTCAAGACCCTTATGTAATTCTCTCTTTTCCTGTCTGTGGCTTCAGTATTTGGAGGCTGAGAGACCCAAAGGCAGGACTGACAGGAGGACAAAAGTCAATCTGTGTTTTAGCTTTGTGTGCCAAACTGTAGACGCAACATGGCTACATTCTGACCATTTCTACAGCCCTCAAGGTTTTGAGTAGCACCTTTCAGAGCAAGAGATAAGTGTTCGTTTGAACTATGGGTCCTAGGATACCTGGACAAAAGGAGGCCGTCTCCTTCTGCTCATGCCTCCAGCATAGGCTTTCTGCTCCCAGAGGACAGTGTACCCACAAGTTGCTAGAGGCCTTCACCTGAAGCAGTGTAGTCAGCATGCTCCTCAGTGATGAGTCTCAGGTGCCACCAGGCATCTGACACTGTCAAAGAACAGGAGCTCTCAGGCCTTCCTAGGCTTCCTTTCCATCCCAACACAGTCACTTTCCTCAGTAAAAAGATACTGCCTTTAAGCTGGGCATGGTGGCACTCAACTTTAATCTGAGTACCCAGAAGGCAGAGGCAAGTGGATCTCTGAGTTGGAGTCCAGGCTTGGTCTATAGAGAGAGTTCCAGGACAGCCAGGACTACACAGAGAAACCTTGTTTCTAAAAAACTATGAAAACAAATAAAGAGAGGGAGGGACAGAGGGAGAGAGAGAGAGAGTGAGGAAAAAGAGAGAGAGGAAGAGAAAGAGCTTTTAGATTTTAGTGTTGGGATATGGATATGGTCAGAGGCATGAGCAGCCTGTGGTATTCTACCAGGATGAGCCCATGCCTGCCCTTCAAAATAGCTTTAGGGAGCCTAAGGGATGGCACAGAATGGGGCAGCCTTCCTGTCTTCTCGACAGGTGGGATTAGAGAAAGCAGAATGGTGAGTATTAAGAACAGCTAAGGGAGTAGTGAGAAGGTGGGGCAGTGAAGCCTGTGATGGTAAGGCCAGGGTGGGAGCACTGGCAAGCTGCTAACCAGGCTCTCCTGCTTCTCGTTGGTCTTTCTTCGCCCCATCCAGAGAGGCAGAGGCACAGTGCCTCAGGCCCAGGTTTGGTAGATAGGCCAAGAATCATGCTGCCTGCCCATGGTTCATCCAGGGAGCACAGGAGGACATGAAGATAGTCTTGTTTAGGTGTTCAGGACCATTCAGAGAACATCAGCCTAAGGGGCTGTTTTTACAGGGGACGTTGGGAGAAAAATGCTCAATGGTGCTTGTTAACTTGACATAAGCATGAGTCACATGGGAAGAGGGAACCTCAACTGAGGAGTTGTGGAGATCAGATTGGCCTGTGGCTACTTCTGAGAGAAACCCTCTTAATTATAACTGATACGGGAGGGCCAGCCCACTGTGGGTAGCTCCCATCACTAGGCAGGTAGGCCTGGCTGCATTAGAAAGCTAGAGAGCACTGAGCCGGTGAGCGAACTACTAAGCAGTGTTCCTCCACGGTTTCTGCTTCGGTTCCTGTCCTGGCTTCTCTCAGTGACTGAGTGTGACATGGAACTGTAACCTAAATAAACTCTCTCCTCCCCTAAGTTGCTTTTTGTTACTGTTTTGCCATAACAACAGAAAAGCAAGCTAGAACATGGAGTATCTACGGATGGCTAGAGGACAATCAGTATTAATCCCACTGGCCAAGAACAAGACCACTACTACAATTTTGAGCAAAATTTGAAGCAAGCTTTAATAAATACCGGCCAGGTTGATGGGCACTGGCCAGGTCCACACCCAGGATTCCCAGAGAGTGGCCACAAATTATGTTAGTCTGGTGCTTATAAAGGTAAAACCCACAAGGCTGTGTATTTACACCTTCATCCAATGGGAGCAAGCATACATCCTGACATACTTCCTGCCTGTGTACCTCCTGCCTACATGTGATCAAACCACCTGTGCAGGTGGGGCAACCAAACCTGTTTACAGAAGCAAAAACACATGGCTTGTTATCTCACATGAACAACAGCCCCCAGCATTCCAGAAAGTAATCTGTCCTCACGAAAGTGGGGCTTACAGGTTAGAGGCAGTTGTGTTTTGTAGATCTCTTAAGCACAGTAATTTAAACTTAACACATGACTTTAGCCCTCACATAGAAGGCACAGAAAGCCTCACTGAGGGGCAGGATGGGGCACAGGAGGAAGGCATCAGTGTGTATGTGTGTGTCTTCGTAGAGATAGAACCCAGGATCCTCCTATAAGCCAAGCAAGTGCTCTACACTAAGCTGTACCAAACTGGTGGATTCTGTTCACAGTTGCCTCAGAGGGCTGCTGATGGTAAACATATGCTATTGAAAATGCCAGTTCTATGGGCAATTCTAGGCCAACCTAGTCACCATGCCTGTGACTCCAATTCAGTAAAAGGTTTGGAGATGGTGGGTTGGACATAAGAGAACACATTCTCTCACCTACTCCACCACAGGTACAAAAGACTTCAGAAAAGCTGTCTCCTCCTTCTGTATAGCTGTAACTGTGCTCCCATCTTGGAATAAGAGCCATCGTGTCCCATTCCCCGACCCACTCCTGCCCCAAAAGCCTGAAGTATGTTTCATGAGCAGGAAGCTGGTAGGGCTTGTCTGTGTAGTGCCTTACTTCAATGCTTTCCAAGTACCTATACATTCAGTGAGCTTCTCTGGAACAGAAAACTTAGGGCTAGGCCCATTCCATCACTCCCAGCATCCAAAGGCCAGCTCCAGTCCTTCCTAGCTAGGCCTTGGCTCCAAGAGGCTGGGCTCTAGCAAGTACTAAGGAAGACTTTGGATTGTGCTGACAGCTGCACCATTAGCAAAACCACTTTCCTCCAGCAGGATTTGCCTTACAGGCCACTCCCTACTCACAGCTGTCAAGAAAAACAGTGATTGTCACCACTTTTCTATTCTATTCTATTCTATTCTATTCTATTCTATTCTATTCTATTCTATTCTATTCTATTCTATTCTATTCTATTCTATTC